CAGGCTCCAATGCAGCCTCCTGCACAGAGGTGAATGTCAGACCAGCCACTTGCTTTCCTTTGACAGTCCTCCAAGAATTCCCTGCTGTAAAGGCAAGTCCCATTTCCTCTCCTCTTCCTTTCTGTAAAATGCAATCTCCATGCTCAACCAGGGAGAGCCGCTAGGCAGAGTGCAAACGGGCAGATGCCAGGCAGGGCTGGTTTCGCAACCAAGCAGGGGAAGGCAGTTGAGCATCACTGTGGCCCCAGAGTCTTCTATTAATAAATGACTCTGCTTCTCGAGTGGAGGAATACCAGACGAGGGGCCTCTCTATCTCTTCTTTGAAAGCGGGCAGGTGGGTAGGCACCCACCTTACAATGAAACTGGACCTGCTCCTGTTGCAGCAGCAAGTTGGGGAGCTTTGCGGCAGCCACCCATGGAATGAGGCAGTTCCACCACTTTCAAGCTGTGTGGTCTTGGGCAAATCACTCAGACTCTCCGAGGCTCTGTCTCATCACCTGTCAAAGGCAGATAATAAATCCTTCCTCTTGCAGGCATTGAGAGGATTAAGCTGGATTAGGTATGTGAAAGTTCTTTGTAACTGGTAATGCCCTCTGCAAATATTAGTTATTATGCTGTTACATTTTCCCTTAATAACCCAGAGCTTGGGATATAAAAGCCTTCCATGTCCTTTATTAAGATATCTCCTAGGAGCTAAGCTATTTTATGTCTTTCTTGTTCTTGTGTGTTACAGTGGGTTTAGTACTGAAGTGTACTAAACCAGTTTAAAGCATTCTGAAATGACTTTTTTTAAAAAAACCAAACACACAAACCATAGTTCTTGCTGATGTTTTTGAAAATCCCCAGAAGCAGTAATGTCAAGGATACTGTGGAGCACTGACTGTCCCAGGTACTCTCCTGAGTATGGTTAATTCACATCCTCCTGAACCCCAGGAGGACATTGCTGTGACTGTCCCCATCGTCTAGACGAGCAAACGAGGCACAGAGGGGCCCGGAACTTGTGTAAGGCCACAGAGCTAGGAAATCACAGGGCCAGGCGAGGATACAAAAGCAGCAGCGTGGCACCAGGGCACACACGTCTCAGCACAGCCTCACTCCGTCTCTGTTCACCTGTTTCCAGCTCTGCCCAAGAGGTTGAGGTGCTCCCCCCACCCCCCCGCCAAGGACTCACAGCAAACTTACCCTTGAGTTTCTGAATCCCTCATCCCTCCGTATTGGAATTAACATTCCAGAAAGACAACTCAAAGAGTAAGACACCAAAGAGAAACATCTGATTTCATGACAGCATCCAATAAACAGGTTCTCAAAGGTGTAAAGTGTACTATTCCGGCCTGCTGCCGTTAGGGTTTCGGTGGTCATACTACGTTTAATACTAAGCCACAAAGGAGAAAACGAGGTGAAGACAGGATATTGGAAGATATTTTTCCTAAGTTTTTCTCTATTCATCTCCTACCTCTGCTGTACCCTGGGCAGGCTTTTTGACCCTCGTGAGTTTTGGTTTCTTTCTCAACATATACACATGCTTCTCAGGTTTACCTCACCACTGATGACAGTTTTCAGCTCTCTTCCTCTGTAAAGTTTCCCTGGAGATTTCTGGTGGTCCCCAGTATGTGTTCCGAAGTTCCCTAACAAGGATTGCACTTCCAGCCCTACCTGACATCAACAATGTTTTGGCCTCTTTTGTTTCACTCTCCCTCTGTTGTGCTGTCCACCCAGCTGACTGAATGCTGTCAGTCCTGTATCGTTGCCACTATCTCAAGGTTGCTGTACCCCAAATATTATGATGCCCCCATCATGTACCACTGATCCACTAAAGAGTCTATCTGGCCTGGGACGGTTCTGCCCTTGGCTCCACTCACCTTCCTTTTCATTAATTCATGCAACAATGACGTATTGTTGCCTGTTGTGCCAGGCCCTGTACTGGGTACTTGGGACACGTGAGTGCAGTAGATAGACACTCTCTCTGCTCCAGGGACATGATATTTCAGAAAGAATAGGAGACAGCAAACAAACTATAATACAGTCTCTGCGGAGCCTGGAAACACTGGCAAACAGACATCTGTCATTAAAGACATCGTCAACCTGTAACACAAAATGTGTCCAACAAGATGCTAATTACAAAGGTCCCCAGGGAAACCTGGCCAAGCGTCCTGAGGGCTTTCCACTCCAGCCCCGCTCTTTCCAGTGGGATTTCTGTATAAGTGCTCGGGAGCAGACCAGAGCTCTCTCCTTTAAAACAAAGATTGCATTTTCCTCTGGATTCTCTGTCAGCAGAGGCTTTTCTCCTGGCCTCAGCATCTATGTTGATTTTCATAGTCAGCCCGTCCATGGCGAGGATCACGTTTCCCTTTGAAGCTTCCCCTACATGTCACCTGCTGACTGTATTAATATCTACCCCATCAGATTCAAATAAAGATTAAATGAGATGATGCAGGTTAAAAGATTTCATAAACAGAGACGTGCTCTATAATTGGCAGCTATTATTATTACTACTATTGTGAAAATAATTATAACACTTATTATTCCCACAGAAGTTATATTATTACCCCAAGGTCACAGAGGAAGTGTAGACACAGAACTCCCTGTCTTGACATCAAGCACATGGCCAAGCCCCCAGCATTTCAGAGATCCACACTCTGAGATACCCCAGGTATCCTGGGCTGTGATCAAGCATCCAGGACCACTGCCAGGCTACACACTGCCTGGCCTCGGGCCCCACAGATGCTGCAGCTCCTTCACGGGGATGCCGGTGTGAGCTACAGTTGCCAAGGTTTTCCAAAAGCACAGTCTGCATTTATTTTGTTTAATTCTTACATTCTGTTTCAGCCTCCTCCTAAATGCATTTGTTTGCAAAAAGAGCCACGAGGGGAAGTTCAGCCCACAAATAAGAATATAATTATTACACAGTTTAGCTGTGCCTGGGCGTCACCCGGGTATTCACCGGTGCTCGACAATTCAATTGTCTCTCCTTCAAGACTGTATTTAATAGGATAAACAATTTCTGCTAAATGCAATAAACGTGAACCTGCGCTGTCATCTCCATAATCAACTCAAATTTCCCATTAGAAGCAGTGGCTGTGATTGAGATTCAGAATTTAATTTGGCAGTACTGCCTTCCACATGCCTGTATCAGCTTCATGGGAGCCTGCCATCAACCCAAGACAGAACCTCTCTTCCCTGTCTCTGGGGAATCTTAAAAGAAGATAGATTATAACACAAGAAAATTATACAGCCTTGGTGTAATGAAAGAGATAAAACATTATTGGATTAGCCTGTTGAAATAACAACAGACGGCAAAGCAATAATATTAAGCCAAACAAGGGCCTGGACCCGTGAGTTCAATTGCAGGGGCCATGAGGATGCAGAAGGCAGACAGGATGGACATGCTTGCTGCAGCAAGCCCTGAGCACTAAAGGATCAGTTCCTTCTACATTGTTCTATACTGACTCAGTTCCAGAGAGCCAGGCAGCACGATGGGTGGGTCAAGTTGGGGACCTGTGCTATGGTGTCATGGACGTGTTATGGTCTTGGGTCCAAGTACCTAGCCCAGCGGCAAACTTACAGCAGAGCATGTGCCTGAAAACAAATCAATCGAAAATACACAGAATGAACCAATTCACCTTCAATCAACTGTTTTTCCTTCCCACACCCATTTGATTTCAACAAATTCACATGATGTTATGCAATCCAACAGGAAGTTCCTGAGAGCAAAGAAAATATTAATGGATGTTCTAATGAGACAGAATGAAAGAGAACAACAAAGCTTAAATGATCACTTGACTCCGTCTAAAAAATAAAAATATTTTGGTGCTTAGTAACCTAAAGATCAACTGTACACTTATTCTCATCTGTAAGGACTTCCCTCCCCAAATGAGATTTTCACAAAAGCATGAGTGAGCAGAGGACGGCGTACAGAGGCACAGAAGGTTTACACTGCCCATCACTCCACCAGCTTGAACATCCCCTGATGTGTTTCCTCTTCCAACCACCACAGCCTCTCTTTTTTTCTTTCTTTTTAAACTCTGATTCAGTGATGAATTTCCCTTGTTCTTGTCTCTTGTTCAGCATCTTCTCTGGGTACCCACTCATGTCACAACAACTTAGCTCTGCCCCAGAACAAACTTCCTGTGCTCGGCATCAAAAGGAGCTGAGGAACCTGGATCCACGTTCTTTGGGATGCAGCAGGTGGGGATTTGTCAATCCCTCACACTCACACACACACATACACACACACACACACACACAGCACCTTCTTCTACATTGTATTTTGTAAAAATTCTTTGTTAACCCAATGTCCAATATGGAAAGGAGGGGAACATCACTGTTAAGAGTTTAAAGCTCCAGAGCCTGAGGGCCCAGGTTTGCAGTCCAGCTCCCCCACTTCCTAACTGTATAACCCTGGACAAGTAAGTAACTGAACTCTTCTAAGTTGGTATTTCTGCTGTTTAACAGGGCTAATAGAATATCCACCTTATAAGGTGATCTTGAGGATGGAATGAATGAATGAATGCATTGAGCACTGACTGGCTGACACTAATCATTCAATAAACCTAAACTGCCAACTGACGTGATAAATGAGACAGTATGGCCTCAAGATAGGGACAGTTTAATATCTATTCAAGGATCCATATTGGGAACCTACTCTTTGCAGGTCACTGGTGGATAGTGGGACTTTCACATGGACAACTTCCAACACAATCCCCAGCTGGTAGTAAGTGTGAGTAAAATAAAACTGCTGAGATGAGCAAAGTGACAATTACCAGGATGGTTAAGCCCTTCAGGAGACCCTAATTACTGTTTAACTTACTATTTGTTCAAACCAATGTGCACTTGACAAATAATATATTTATTTTAAACATTCTAAATGGCACAGCCCTCCACCCTTGGGCCAGCTGCAGATGGGAGTAGGCGTGGGGCTGAGTTGGTTTGATTTCTAAGAGCTCAGCACTTATGCTATGTGCAGACCACAGGAAAATCACCTGCTAAATTCTTTCCCTTCCTTAACAGTTAAGTGTTTCTGAAGCAGGGCCCAAACAGGGGTCGCCCCCATTTCCAGGAGGTGGATTGGTGCACTGCCTTTGTCTTGTTTTATGTCCTCCAGAACACGGAGACCAGTTTGACCAGCAATTCCACTTCCCATCGATGGGGACATCTATAAGAAAGAAGGTCAATGAACGTTAATTAGCCTTTATTATACCCTAATGCCCATGGCAACCCACTCCAGTGTTCTTGCCTGGAGAATCACAGGGACGGGGGAGCCTGGTGGGTTGCGGTCTATGGGGTCGCACAGAGTCAGATACGACTGAAGCGACTTAGCAGCAGCAGCAGCAGTGCCCTACAGGAGGGGTGAGGTGTATAAACCCTAGGGCACTGGGAATCTGAATCTCTGATCTCCCCACTCCAGTCCACTGTCCTTCTTTCAGGCCACTGACTCACTATGCTTCCTTTAACCACAGGGCCTTTGCACATGCTGTTCTCCTGGCCCCAAATACCCTTCTCTCCTCTGTTCCTCTGGTCAATCCTATTCATCCTTCAGATCTCAGTTTAAGTGTTATTTCTGCAGGGAAACCTTTCCTGTTTCCTAATTCCCCATCAATATTTCATATTTTAAGCTCTCCGAGCATTTTGTAGCACTTACAGTTGAGACAAACAATTCAAATGATGTTGGTCTTTCTTTTTTTTTTTTCATTTATTTTTATTAGTTGGAGGCTAATTACTTCACAATATTGTAGTGGGGTTTGTCATACATTGACATGAATCAGCCATGGATTTACATGTGTTCCTCATCCCGATCCCCCCTCCCATTGGTCTTTCTTCCTAAAGCGCAATCTCCATGGTGAGAGGAATTATATCTGATTTTCCCACCACTGAATGAACTCCAGCACCTAAACTGGCACATAGGAATCCCTGAGTCCATATTAGTGGAATAAATGGTTTCTAGCTTAGACAATTCCAACGTATACAATGCTAGATAGTTAACTTCTTCTCAATGTATCACATGGGAGCTCTGTTATCCACAGTGGTCATTGTGTGCTTTAAATGAAGTGATAACACTGTTCACCCCTCCCTGACACTTGCCTTTCCCTTTAGGATTTCTGGTTGTTGATGAGCCTGGAAAATAGTCAATTACATTCACCATGATGGATATGCACATGGCTGAGCCTCTAAATTGCAGTGTAGTTCTGGGTACGTTATTTAACACCTCTGGGCCTCACCATTGGTAACACGAGATACCAGGAGAAGGAGATTTCCAAGGTCTCCTCCAACCAGTGGAAATCCTGTGATTTTTGTCGTTACACTCGTATTGGACAGATCACTGTCAGGGGTCTGGTTGAGATATAGCAGGAGAGGGTCTGAAGAAACCCCTGAACCCTTTATTGGGGAGGAGGGCAGAGCAGGCACCACGAGCAAAGGCAACAGAGACAGACTCACTGGGCCTGAAGCTGGGTCCCTCTATCTACTACGTGACCAGGGGCAAGTTAGTTAGGCACCTACTGAACCGCAGATTCTTCATCTATGAAACGGGGGTATTGGCAGTATCTACTTCATGAGGTTATTGAGAGGATGAAAGGATTTCATATATGTGAGATAAAAATTAATTATATATTTTGCTCTAAAACAAATATTTATTTTGCTCTTTAGATGGGTTAGGCATCCTTCCAAGTGCTTTTTATGTCTCAAGAGAGACTCAAGACAACTCTTTGAGGTAGTTAACACATTATTGACCCGGGATTTTTGCAGAAACTAACACATGTGGCATTAATATTGCATATGTGTACATGCATGCATGCTCAGTTGTTCAGTCATGTCCGACCCGATGGACTGTAGCCTACCAGGCTCCTCTGTCCAAGGGATTATCCAGGCAAGAATACTGGAGTAGGTTGCCATTTCCTCCTTCGGGGAGCTTCCTGACGCAGGGGTCAAACCCATGTCTCTTGTGTCTCCTGCATTGCAGGCAGATTCTTTACCACTGAGCCATCAGGGAAGCGTTAATATTGTGTTGACCAAATTATGGTCAAATTATGGTTCAGATTGTTCCATAAGATCTTATAGAAAAAGGTGAAAGAACTTTGTGGTCAACCCAATACGTCTCTGGTCAATGATGTGCTAATATCATCATCTCCATTTTAAAAATGAGGAAATTAAGGCACAAAGAGTTCAAGTAATTTGCTATTAAATGATGAGATGGAATTTGAATCCATGCTGAGTCAAAGCCCTCACCAAGTTATCTGCTACCAAATGGTGTGTGTGTGTGTGTGCTCAGTTGCTCTGTCATATTTGACTCTTAGCGACCCTGTGGACGAGGCAAGAATACTGGAGTGCGTTGCCATTTCCTCTTCCAGGAGATCTTCCTAGTGGAGTATTTAATACATGTTTGGTGTTTTTATTGGATATGCCATTTCCTTTTTTAATGGTATCACCACAAATTCACAGAAAGGAAAAGAAAGGGGCGGGGGTGGGAGATAGGCGGTGTTAAGAATTCTTAGATAATAAACTGGCTAAAGAATCTAACTCGAGAAGATCATTATGGTAATCTAGTCTTTCAGTTGTTAATTCAACATCAGTAACTGTTTGTGGGAACCTGAGGACTCAGAGATATAAACTAGACATGATCCCTACTCACAGACAGGGGAGGGAGACACACACAACCCAAAATAGAATGTGCTAAGAGCTATAAACAACACATGTTCAAAGTCTTATGGGATCCCACAGTAGAAATTAACTAATTCTACATGGGTTCGGATAATTTTTACAGAAGAAAGGGCATCTGTGTTGGATTTTGAGGGTTGAATAGGAGTTCACTAAATAAGAAAAAAAAAAAAAGATAAACATTCCAGAATGATTTAAAGAGATGACTTGCAGCTGCCATGCATTAGCAGTCCTGTAATGTGGAGTACTTTAAGTTGTGAAAATATAAAATTAGGAGTCAAGATGGATCTCAAGGGCTTCCCTGGGGGTCAGTGATTCAGAATCCACCTGCCAGTGCAGGGGACATGGGTTCAAGCCTTGGTCGGTCCAATAAGATCCCACATGCAGCAGGGCAAGTAAGTCCAGCGCCACAACTGCTGAGCCTGAGTTTTAGAGCCCAAGTGCCCAACTACGTAGCCTGGACGTTGCAACTACTAAAGCCTGCTATTTGCTAGAGCCCATGCTCCACAATAAAAGAAGCCATCACAACGAGAAGCCCGCACACTGCCATGAGGAACAAGCCCAGCTCCTTGCAACTAGAGAAAGCTTGCACTCACATCAGTGAAGACCTAGCGCAGCCAAAATATAAACAAAGTTTTAAAAATACAAAGATGGATTTCGAGTTTCAAAGTGTCCAGTTCCCTAGCCCATGCCCTGACTTTGCTCTTACTCTTTCGAATTATTCCCTGGACTTCCCTAGGCTTCCCGTTCCTAACCCGTCCTCACAGACTCCTTACTTTTCCAATGCGTGACCTCACAGGCCGAGCCTTGGAACCCAGCAGGACAGATGCACTCACAGCGTGTTCCTGAGAAGACAATGCAGAGAAAACGTGAATCACACCATGTGAAACAAAGAGCTCCTGGAGTTCAACCCTTCCTCCATTTCACAGCTTTTCCATGAGGTTAAAATAGGACAACCGTTTAACTGAATGGTTTGAAATAAGAAGGTTCAGTGCCAAGAATACTCACTCCTTTCTTGAAGGTCCTTTGCTCATGAAACGGTTTTTATTCCACCACAGAAAATATTGTAGAGCTACTGAGAAAAATTACCCATTAGCTGACCTTTGACCTAGACTTATGGATTTTGGGGGTCAGAAGATACATTACTGAGGTGATTGGGGCCAGTGGTCATTGGTGCTCAATTTCACATCAAGTAATTGCCTAGTCATTGCTTGAGCACCTCTGGTGATGGGGAACTCACTACTCTTGGACATCTCATGCTACCTTGGGCTTCCCTTGTGGCTCAGCTGGTAAAGAATCCACCTGCAATGCGGGAGACCTGGGTTAAATCCCTGGGTTGGGAAGATCCCCTGGAGAAGGGAAAGGTTACCCCATTCCAGTATTCTGGCCTAGAGAATTCCATGGACTGTATAGTCCATGGGGTCACAAAGAGTCGGACATGACTGAGCGACTTTCACTTTCTTCCACTTTTCACTTTCATGCTACTTTTGGCTGGTTCTGACACTTTAGAAATTATTCTTTATGTTAATCTGTCACATGTCACCCTGGAGCTTCTCTCACATCAATCACATGAACTCTCTTTACAGGACTGTCCTTTATAGGCCAGGTCCTTCCAGCCTCTGGCTTCCTTTTCTTCCTTACCTCCAAAGTAGAGCCTCCAGCGAGTCCCAGTCTCTAGCTTCACGTTACACACAAGGCAAGGGGGATTTCAGCAACCCTAGATCAAAATCTGGAGCAGGTGAATGGACCCTACGTCCTGCTGAACTGACCTTTACTTACAGGTCCTGTTCCTGAGGGAGAACTCCCCATCTTCGGGCTGTCGCATATGCCTGCTCTGCTCGTCTCCGTCCCCTCTGAGAAGCCAGACACACATTCATCTGTCTCAGCTGAGTAGGTGGGCTCTTTCTCCCCGAGAACAGACCTCCTCTCGTGCCCCCTCTGTTGAGCTCACTCTATCCACATGAGTTCTGCCGGCTGGCTCCTCGGGCTGGAATCTGCTGTACCCAGGTGCTCTTGGCACCCTGCTTCAGCATTATGCTGGACGGGACCCCTCCTCAGCCCATCAAAACAAGAGCAGAAGACCCCAGGTCCCAGCTCTGCCCACGTTTGCTCTGCCCACCGCAGTGACCCCGGATGTGACCCTTAAGTTAGCAATGATGTTCTCGTGGCTCATCCACGTTGCTACCTCCCCATCCTCCAATTGTCTCACCACGTGTTGGCCAGGATATGCAGGAGGAGGGGTTTCCCCTGCTCGGCCCAGGGAGGGCCTTTTGTCTGACCAGGACAGAGTCCCAGAGTCCCTCCCCACTCCCTGTTACAGGCCATAGCATCTCAGCCCATCCCTGCCTTCAGTTCAACACTTTCCCTTGTGGCTAGAACCTAGGTATCCTGACAGCCCAAGCAGCTTCTTCTAGCTGCCTGCATTCTGACATCCTGGTCCTAACACTGGTACATTTCAACACAACCTATGGGTCAAGTCTAGCTCTCCTGCTAGTCTAAAAGCTCAGCAAAATCATGGATTCTGTCTGCCAGTGAATTCAGCTGTGGAACAGCTGCCCAACTCTCACTGTACACTGAATTATCTGGTAGGCTTTTTAAAAGGCCAATCCCAGTGATTTGCTTTAACTGTTTTGGGCTGAGGCCCCGGGCTTTGTGTTTGTGAAAAGCTCCCTGGGTGATTCTCACGTGCGCCTTGACAGGAGCGTCGTGCACCTTGCCATCAGTCCCACCTGAGTACAGGCGCTTCCTTAGTCCCACCCCACCTCACTGTGCTCCAGGAAGCTGGGGACTTTAGCAGCGGTGGGTCACACCCCAGCCACAAATTAGAACCACCAGAAGAGGAGAGGGTTTAACCATCCTGATGAGGGTCTCTTCCCTAGAGTTTCATGTGAAGATCATATTTGGGGTCCTAGCGTCAGTAGTTCTAAAGATCCCCAGTGGTTCTAATGCCCAACCAGGGTGGAAAGGCTCAGCTCTTAAAAGGCTCCAAATGGCCAGGGGCTCATATTTTTTTCCTCTGAGACAAAGAAGGGAGCTTTATGACAGTCCCTGGGGCTTGAGGCAGAGGACTGGGAAATAACCTAGAAATTCTCCTGGAGATCCACATCACACCTTGACCTAGAAACACACCTCTGGAGGGTGTGTGGATCTGATGTGATCTGGCCCCAGAACCAGCCCATCCAGACGGTAGTTCCCACAAACGACACTGGAAACGGCACCTTTCAGGACAGAGACTCCGTTCCCCTGGCAGGGGGCACACTGGCAGGGGCTGACTTCCTTCTGGAACTCCTCCAGGGCCTTCTTCATGTTCTGCCTCACTGTGCTGGAATAGGCGAAGTCCGAGGCTGTCACCAGTTCGTACAGAGGCATTACCTGGGAAAGGAGCAAAGGCGTTGATTTCAACAGAATCCGTTGGTCATATAGTAACAAAAGCCCAAAGTAAGGCTCGATAGGAATGGGCAGGTTCGGTGCATGCAGATCACAGTGGATTCACATGGAACTAGATGGACACCCCATCCTTTCTCTTTCCCATCCCACCCAATAGCCACAAACAAGCCCGTTCAAGTTCAGGTCAACAAACACTTGCCGAATACCTTCCAAGTGCCAGGCATGAAGCATAGTAAGGAATAGGATAAAATCCCCACTTCACTCCCCCAGAACTCAGAATCTAGAGATACAGACAGTCGTACTAATGGATACTTACAGAACGGTGGTTACAGGCAAAAGTGGTAACTTATAATGGGTAGAGAGGAAAATGAAGTTACTCACTCGTGTCCAACTCTTTGCAACCCCATGGACTGTAGCCTGCCAGGCTCCTCCGTCCATGGGGTTTTCCAGGTAAGGATACTGGAGTGGGTTGCCATTTCCTTCTCCAATTGCAGGACAGTAACCAGGGTAGAGAGGAGCAGCTGGTTAATCTCTCTTTGGTGGGAAAGGGGAGGCAATTTGCAAGCCGCTCTTTGGAAGTATTATAGGAGCCCTGTTTCAGCAATACCCCCCACCACAAACCTGTGAAAATCCTTCATGTCATGCAAAAGTCACCATTAGGGAAACTTCCCCCGAGCTCTTAAGCTTCCAGAACACCTTCCTACTATGAAACACTCAGCATACTGTCTATGCTACTCATCCAATGCAAATTCGACCTCCTTTCTCCCTGGTGGTCAATGTTTTGGGCTGAAGTCCCTTTTCCTTCATCTCTAATTAGATTGTAAGCTCCTGAAGATCAGACCTATATACTGCTCAGCTGTGTCCCCAGGGTGCAGGCCCAAGCTTAGTGAGAGCGGCTATAAGAGTGGGTAGAAGGATGAAAAGGAAAGGGGAGGCCTCGTTAGGGTAACAGCAGCTGGCATGGAGGCCAGGGTATGGCAAGCAGAGAGAAAGATGCTCTCAGTGGGCATGGCAGTATCTGAGAGCAGGAGACCACAGATGGATGTGGCGGTGTTTGCGGCCTTGGAAAAGACAAAGTCCAAAGAGGTAGTTAAACATGTTCAGAGCCTCTTGGCTCAGTTTCAGCTCCAGGGTCAGGTTCCTCGCCAGATTTTGGTTGTGATCCTGCCCTAATCCGGTCCTGGAGAGTTTAGGGTCTGTCTAAACACAGGCAATCATGCCTAATAGAAGCCTCCAGTGGGAAGAAAATTGCTTCCATTTCTTAATGCATCTGATGCTGACCTTCACTCCAGTGGGCAAAGCAAGGCCCCTTGGTGGTCCCATTGTCTCACCATTTTGTGGTCAATGAATTGATCCAGAGGCTGTTTGCAGAATGGTCTAGCTTCTGGCCACACATGGTGGGTAGGCGGGGGTACATAGGGGATTGCTGTACACCCACAATGAGCTCCTCCAACAGCCTGCTCTCCCTGCCAGAGCACCTCGAAAGGCTGCTTTTAACCTGCTTTTGACCTACCAGGCATTTTCCTACCAGCTCTGAGATCTGCTTCAGGAGATAAAGTCAGTGGCACTTCCACATATACTGTGTGCCAGGGGCTGTGCTATGATCCTCCTTCACCTTCGCACGGGAGCAATTACCAGCGCCATTTCAGGTGAGGTTAAGTTGAAGAATGCATTGAATAGCGCTGCCAAGATTCTAATCCCAAATCTGTGCTTCTCCTACTAGTTCATGAAAATTGGTGATTAAAATGGTGATTATTCTCCTTTCCAACCTCTATTCCAGGGTTCTCCAGGACAGTTTGCCTTGGAACTTGGCAGCAATGCCTCAAGATTCCCTCCACAGTTCCCTTTTTAACTTAATGTGGCTCTTGTCTTTTTTTTTCGGTTTGCTGGTTCCTTTTTCCGGTCTTTTTCTCTTTTGTCCTCTCCTTCTTTCCTCCCTTCCTCCCTCTTTCTTCTACATTTCTCCCCCAGACACCCCATCCTGACCGCTCACATTGATCACTGGGTCCTTAGCACACCTGCACTTGTGAAAACTGTTGATTATGTTGGTGGTGGTTCAGTCGCTAAGTTATGTCCGACTCTTTGCAACCCCCTGAAGTGCAGCACGACAGGCAGGCGCGGTCTATAAAACTCCGTGCAGTTCCCCATAATGGACCCTGGTGATTGGCATTCTTGATTATTGTCATAGCTAGCATTCATTAGCTGCTGAACTAAAAATATACCTTATCCATCCTAACCTTCACAACAATCTTAGGAGTCAGGTAGACTTCTGTATCCCCAGTTTACATAGACTTCTGTATCCCCATTTTATAGATGGCAAAGTGGAGGCACAGAAAACTTAAATTTACCAGACTAACACTCAGTAAGCAGCAGAATATATGAATTGCTACCATTGTGGTTTGTGCCCTTTCAGAATATATTTTTGGAAGGGTAGATGGACAGATACTTATACCAAATTGATGGCGTAAGAAAAGCACATGTTTACATTCCACTTTTTTCACTTAATATCATATTCATAAATGTTCATATTATGAACATTTTCCTATGCTATTCAATAATCCTTGTTAAAATAATTTTCATGACTACAAGGTATCCTGTTGTACTGGTGAACTACGATGTATTCAACTATACCCTGTTATTGAATCTTCAGGTTGTTTCCACTTTTCTTTTTCCCTTTTGCTATTACAAATATGGTTGTCCTCCCTTATTAGTCAGGATACATTCCAAGACCTTTGATGATTGCCCAAAACCATGAAGAGTACCAAACTCAACACATACTGTTGTTTCCTATACCCATATACTATGATTAATTTAATTTAAGAATTAGGCATGATAAGAGATTAGCAATGGGAATAATAAAATAGAACAATTATAACAATACACCGTAATATAAGTTATGTGAATGTGCTCTCTCTCTCAAAATATCTGATTATACTGTACTTACCCTTCTTCTACTTGTGATGACATGAGATCATAAAGCCCTAACATGATCAGATGAAACGAGTAAATGACGGAGGCATTATGACACAGCATCAGGCTACTGTTGATGTGTCATCAGAAAGTTCATCTGCTTTGAGTGGTCCTGGATTACTGAACCATGATCATGTTAGGGGTTGGATGTCAGGAGCAGATGGTGTTGATGGCTGGGGATCCCAGGTGGGGATGCAGTGGGACAGTGCAAGATTTCATCACACTAGTCAGAATGGCTTGCAATTAAAAAGTTTAAAATGGTTTCTTTCTAGAGTTTTCCATTTAATATTTTCAGACCACAGTTGATGATGAGTAACTGAACCTCAGAAAGCAAAACTTCAGATAAAGTGAGATTACAGCAGCATAAAATGAGGCGGGTCTTTATAGATACATCTTTATCAACTTTTAAAATGATTTCTATAGTCGATTTTTGCATTTAGGGTTATTGGATCAAACACTGTAAACATTTTTAATGTCTTGAATATATACAGTTAAATTCTTTTCCTAAAGGGTTGTACCATTTTATAGTCCTATTTCATAATATGAAAGTTTCCATCTCATTGCTCCCAATAAGGTTGAGTATTAAAGATTTTTAATCATCATTAATCTGATAGGCAAAAGATACTTTGTATTGTTACTTTTTCATTTTTATTTCTGAGAAGTTAAAATTTTGCTTATTTATCATCTGAATTCTTCTGAGAGTTTTCTATTTCTTTGAGATATTTTTCTTATAAATAGTATCATTCCTTACACATGAAAGATTTCACGTGTGGCAAATTATTTTGTTGTTGTGTACCTTCCACTTAATAATATTTGTGGGTTTCCTTATTTGAAATTCAGAATTTATTATTTCAAGTGAGATCTGACAGTCTAAGTCCGAAATATCTTACTGATTCATGCTACCATGGCATCTACATTTTAAACCTTCTGTTGATCAGAGTAACTTGCTTTTAGAGAATCTTTGAATAAGTTGCTTCAGTAAAGTGTAATGGTCATAATCACTGTTTACCAAACGTATCAGCTTCTTTTCCTTCTGGGCACTTGGCAGGACTGCTTTTCCCTGAACCATCCTTAAAGGAAGGCTTGCAATGTGACTTTTTCTGAGCTGTGAGAGGTAAGCAGAGGGAGCATCCCTTCCAGGTTGAAGCTCTGGCAGCAGAGTGTGCTGAATTCTCCCATTCCTTTACCAACGCTGTGATGATGTTGGGAGCACATGACAAGATAAAACCTCCACTGCCCAGATCCCAGAGTGATATTCAGAAAAGCCCCTTTACCAGTACACTCTGGACATGACATGTGACTGAGCAATTAACTTTTGCTGGATTAAGTTGTTGAAATTTGAGGCTGTTTCACGGCGGCATAACCAAGGCTCTCCTGATGCCTCATTGAACCACTCACCACTGTATTTTCCCTTCTACACTTGGTCATGCCACATTCTGTACCACAGACTCTCCATAGCCTGAACCCCAGACCACAACCTAGCCACACCAACCACAGTGGATATGTACACAGATGACAGACTTTGTGACTAAGGTTGCCAATCAAATATAGAATTCTGAATTAAAACTGAATTTCAGATAAGTAACAAATGAAATTTTAGCATAAAGTGAAAAAGTGGTAGTCACTTAATCATGTCTGACTCTTTGTCATGGACTGTAGCCCGCCAAGATCCTCTGTCCATGGGATTTCCCAAGCAAGAATACTGGAGTGGGTTGCCATTTCCTTCTCCAGGGGATCTTCCCAACTCAGGGATTGAACCCAGGTCTCCCGCATTACAGGTAGATTCTTTACCATTTGAGCCACCAAATATGTCCCATGAAATATTTGAAAGATGCTTATCCTAAGAAAAATATTCTTTATTGGTCTGAAGTTCAGAATTAATTGGACATCCTCTATTGCCAGGCTCCTTGGAATGTCCTAGGGAATTTTGTCATCCCTTAAAGACCATCTTGTTGGGATACAAGCTTTCTCCTTCATGGCTGTCACTCCACAATCTTTAGGCATTTAGCACTATGAAGAATTCTAAGATCAGTATGACTTCTATTTTTGTAGGATCTATTTATTCCTCAAAGTAAAAAATTTCACCACGCTGTGTTTCAGTATTGTTTTATCTTTAGTACTTTTGCCTGCTTTTCAATGAGATGTTCATTTTGCATTATCAACTCAGGGAAGTTTCCCTTATTATGTGCTTGATTAATGCATCTTCACATTTAATCCTGTATCTTTCTCAGGAAGAATGCTCTGGGTTTTAGATTTCCACTTCTGTACTCTCTGTCCATCATATTTCTTTTATATCATTGCTTTAATCTCTTTGTCTTTTGCTTCTGCATTATAGGAACATTTTTACAGCACCTTCCACATCACTGACTCAATTTTCTGCAGTGTCAATTCTGTTCTTTATAGTTTCCAATGTAGGTTTTGAGTCTACTATTGTGCTTTTGGCTTCCTATATTCAGCCATTTCCCTTTTCATCTGATTAGTGTCTAAACATCTCAGATTCTGTTTTTTAGTTCATAAATTCTTTATTTTCTTATAATCACAAAGCAAATATATTGTAAAATTTACTTCTATGCTTAGATGTATGCTTGTCTATTTTATCTTGGATATAATTTCAATCTTTTGTGTTCAAAATTGTCTTTATATATGTCCAATGATTTCTCTACCTCTTCTCTGAACAAAGCGCCATCTCTCTATATCTAACGTTCACCAGTAAACAATGGGAATGGGCTCTTCTCTGGTCTTCTTTCCTGCCTGCCAGGCTCCTATAGGAACTGTGTTTTCAGATATTGATCTTTAAGACTGGTTTATGTACATGAGCCTTGGCCAATACTCTTGTGTCTAGGAATTCCTTATCGAGTGGTCTCTGCTCTCTCGGAAAGCAACTGCGGCACCAACTACCTGGTAAGCCGCTTCTGCAGAGAATTATTTTGAGATAATATGAAGTCATACACAGTTTTCTCTTGCCAGAAAGAATCTATGACTACAATAGATGTTTCCAACTCAAGTTAGGGATATATAGGAGAAATGCATAAAAGACTTCAACAAATTCACCTCTGCCACTGCTGGAAACATCTCTGATTTTCTAATCTCTCCCCTTTCAGTCTCCACAACCCTTCAAAGCACTACACTGATGGTAGATACGATACTTTCCAGGGCATCACACATATGCTGGGAAGCCTCTGTGCCGTCGCTAAAGTGCCACATCTCTCAGGATGGTGGCAGGTCTGAGATGTTTAGAATGCTAACATGTGCTCTCTCTCTTTCTCACAAACATACACCACACACATCCCATTATCATATCCCATGCTGCTGGATACTTGACATTCTCAATGCCCATGATGGTACTTCCAACCTAAATGGATAGGTAACCAGAGCAATCCATTAATTCTAAGTTTAAAACAAAATTAAGGTAAGATATCAGCAAAAAGTAAAGACCAGGGGTCTATTTTTCCATGAACTCTCTTCTCTCCAATGCTTGTTGGTGATACCAACCAATGTCACCATGTCATCAGCCCATCTCAGATTTCTCTAGAGCCTCCAGCAAGCTATGGCTCACTTTACCTTTCTCAATGCTTGCCAGCAACTAAGCCCTAAGTGTCACTACTGAATAAGTGGCAGAGGAAAGAATTTGAATGGCAGCCTTCTTGTTCTGCAGCAACCATGCAATTGACATATAAATAAAGACACTGGAAAACTGCCAAGTTGGGGAACTGCACAGCCTCTCATCAGAGCTCCAGCCCCTTAACTCCTCTCCTTGGCTGCAAGAGTAAATCTCTGGAGGGTGGATGCCGGACCATCAATAATTGTACAGACAATGGCAAGAAGAGGGCAGTGTAAGATGTGATACAGACACCGTGCTGAAGTACCCACAGGCAAGGACCAACCCTGCTGACGTGTATGATAGTGCTGCTCTAGCAAACGTCTTTTTAGCTTAAGGTTGTAAAACTGCCATTGTTTGGGTGACAGGTGGTTGGGATCATTATTTTCTATTTACAAAACCTGCAAGAAAATCTGCAGGGGAGGGAAGAGGTCACCTTTTCAGGTCTGGACTCTTGAGCAGTCACAGACAGATGAAACCTCTGTGACCTTGATTTTTTACCAGCCATAAAATGGAGATAAGCATACTAAATTTGCAGGCTCATGAGAATGAGATGAAATAACATTCCCAAAGTCCTTGGCAGAGTATCATGAATATGGTAGGTGCCCAAAACGTGTTAGTGATCACCATTATGTATTATGCTGTCCTGTAAGAAAATGATGCACACATGTATCTTACTCTTCAGCATAGACTGTGTTTTTCATCCTTGCACCCTCCTCTGTTTTCCTCCATCACATCACAGGAACTTAGCAACGACTTGCTGGTTGAAGGAATGAATGTTTAAATGAACAAAGACCTAAATGAGGGATTCCCCAATAAACTGCAAACAATATTGATTTAAGAAGCTTGGAAGTAGAAGCCAATTGTTAACTTACTTGGACAGCTTGGGAGCCCAAGTGAGAGGCAGTGAGGGGTCTCTAGCTGGTGTTGAGCAGTATATCACAATCAGTTCACTCTGGATACATTTTCTACTATAAGGTATCTATCTCAAGGTGAGGGTTTGTGTCTTATTGAGCTCTGTATTCTATACCCCTTCAGAAGGGGGAATCCCTTCAGAAGCTGTTTTCTGAATAGAGGAAAGGATGTTAGGGTGGGTGCGCGTACCTTCACTTTGATGATGTCGGGATTGTATTGCACTGCATCTCCCCATTCCTGCATCAGGTCTGCTGTTGGCAGCTCTCGATATGCCAGGGCTGTGACATACTCACTCGCTCCTCCTCGTACAAGGACCACCAAGTCTTCCACCATGCTGTCCTTCTTGTTTCTGTCTGGAATGCATACGGAGCCCTGGCATGTCAGGGGATACATTTTCACACCTTGAAATTTGCTGCAACCCAGCTGACAACCTGGTAACTATAATGTTCAGGGAGGTCGCCCTGGAGATGTAAGTGGGACAGTACTCATCCCTGCCAGCAAGGGAGTCACAGTGTAAGCGCAAACGGGCACTTGATCGTATATGACACAAGCTGGAGACAGGACAAGAAAGGGACATTTATTTTAGCATCTGTAAGTGACAGTCGTTAAGTGAGTCTATGGAAAATAGCTGCTAGATACATACATACATACATAGGGACAGATGCTATATAGGTAAATAGACGAAGATTATTCATCATTTATGTATCATTCACTAATTTAATGTTGTACATGTATTAACTCACCTAATCTTCAGTATGAAATAGGAAGTATATAATCCTTCCTTTCCAGATAAGAAATCTTAGGCACTAGAGGGATAGAATTTACTCACAGTACTGTGCCCAACCTTTGAACTATATCACTTCATTGTCTCATATGACAAAAGTGGGAAAATCTATAAGGTGTAAGCATGAATGTAATAGATACTCACCAAATAATGTCTACTGTTTTTTTTTTCAATGTCTACTCTTATTATTTTGACTTCTCAAGCAATTTCCCAGAAAGCCCTCAATTATATCAGTAAGTCATTTCTATTCTAATTTTTCTTGTGCCTGATGCCAAAGAAACTGGTATGACATGACTATTCCACTCTGAGCTTGCAGCACTTGAGCATCATACAAAAGGAGTCTTGTATACTACTGGTCAGACTGTAAATTGATACAGCCATTTCAGAAAATTCTCAGTATTACCTAGTGTAGAATAAGTACATACTCTACAACCCAACAATTTCACTCCTGGGTACATTCCTCATAGAATCCCTTGCACATGTGTGTCAGAAGAGTGTGTAAGAATGTTCACAGCAGCTCTGAATATGATGGCTTGGCACAGGAAATAATCCAAATTTAACAACAGAATGAACAAAGTGATATATTTATACAATAAAATACTATGCAACTATAGTTTTACACAAAAACATGATATCAAAGAAAAAATAAAAAAACCCAGAACTGGAAGATTACATTTCATCCATATAAAGTTCAAAAACAAGCAACTCTAAGTCATTGTTTTTATTTAGTTGCTAAGTCCTGTCCAACTCTTTTGCAACCCCATGGATTATAGCCTACCAGGCTCCTCTGCCCGGGATTTCCTAGGCAGGAAATGGGTTGCCATTTCCTTCTCCAGGGGATCTTCCCAACCCAGGGATTGAACTCGCATCTCCTGTATTGGCAAGCGAATTCTTTACCACTGAGTTACCAGGGAAGCCCAACTCTAAGTTATAGATGCTAGCAATACATGTAGGTGGTAAAACTATCATGAAAGGAAGGACATGTTTAACAGAGACTTCAGGATGGTATTATCTCCAAAGGGAGGGAGGAGTTGTAATTGACAAGAGTCCTGGGGTACTGGGTAATGCTCTATTCAGTAACTTGGATGGGGGGTTACTTTACAAGTTTTCTTTGAAAAGCATGTATGTTTCCCTATGTAGGATGCATGTTCCAACCCAGCCCAAAATAAACAAACAGTATCCACTGCACATCAGTCACAAGAAACTCTTCTAGACCAGCAGTTCATTTTGCTGTTGTTTTATTTTATTTTGCTTTGGCTGTGGACCTCTTCATTTACATATGATCATAGAAATAGGGACAAGCTTAGTCTGTAGAGCAGATGAAGGAGAGTAACGCAGAGTGCAGAAGAGTTCGGGACTAGAGCCCTGCTGATCAGCTTTCCTCTCCTACTCTACTTTCAGTGTTGATTCCCAGCTCCCCTATGTGGCCGCCAAGATCTCTGCTCCCAGATTGGCTCTAGCACTCACTCCTAGTCTCACCTGCCATGTGGACTCTGCTACATGACTCGTGGCTTTGCCTGCTTTTCTAGTTTCCATCTTGCCCATTGCTTCAGGTAAGGACTAGCTGCCTCAACTATATCCCCCACTGCCTCCACCTGGCTCCTACCTCTCCAGCCTAGAGCATCCTACCTCTAGCCAGGCCCACTTCTGGCCCCCAGAGCAAATTTTCATTATTAGATTTTTTTTTTTTTCCCCTGCCTAAAGGCAACCTTGATACCTTATTCCTCAAGTTGCCATTCAAATGATCCCTGTTCCAGGAAGCCAGACGGAGTTTGGTGCTTATCACTGCCCTGTCCTTGATTTTTTAATTCTTTGCCTACTCATGTGAGTATCATGAAGATAGGAAGACCATCTAATTCATTTCTGCATACCAATACATAGTAGGAGCTAGGTAGATTTTTATTGAATGAATTAGTATTTTAATTGAAATGCCTTGGAATATTCAATCTTTAGCTTAAAGAGTGACAGGTCTGGGCTGCTGGAGAAGGAAGGATGATAAGCAGAGAAGTCACATGCCCTTGCCACTCACCTTTTATCTCATTGAGAATGTCACTGCACTTTGCCTCTGACACACCCAGCCTCAAATAGACCACTTCTATGGTGGCGCCGATTTTAAAATCATGTTTAGCACAGGTCTGGACATCCTTAAGAGAGTAATCTGAAGGAAGCAAGAAAAGAGGCTCATGACCTAAAATGGCAATTTGTCCTGGGCCTTTTCCTGCAGTCGATCCCTGATGCCAAACCCTTCCTGGAGGCTCACAGGGACTAAGGTGTAAATTAACGTGTGGCCAGACTAGGGACAAGAAATGCAGCAGGCAGCTCCTGGCACCAGGGCAGAGACCCCATTCGAGATCAGCATCAACTTCCCCTTTCAGCCTCTACAAATACTCAGAGGGTTTTTTGCTGCTCTCCAAAGACAGGATGAGCTCGGAGTCACTTTCTAAAAACATGGCTTCTTATCAAGTCTCTAGGCACTGATGCAGTGAATAGAGGCTGCTGTGAGCTGTCCTCCCTTCTCTAATCTTTGATGTAGTCTAAACAGTTACTTGATCAGTTGAGATAATGTTTATGAAATGTCTGGTATAGTCCCTGGCAAAGAGAAGAACCAATTTCCCTTATTTTGTCTTCATTTCTGGACCATTTTCCATCCATTCCTCTCCAGTTCTCCCCAAGGCATTTTCCCATCCTGGGCTTGCCGAAGTCTTCCATATGACATATGAACACCTTTCTAGAGCATTTGAGGTCAGGGAAGGGAGAGGAGAACAGCTTTAACACCTGGGATTACTAGAAACGTGGATGTGGATCAGTTTTCCCCAAAGCATGTTCCTTGAAACATGAATCCCATGATGATATCTCTTATATATCTTTTAAGAGCAAGAATGACAAGAAACCAGGCTTCTGCAGTCAAGTCAGTGTGATAAATGTGGTATCAAAAGTGATGGAGAGGTCACTTGATTTCAGTATGCCTGTGAAACTCTCAAAGTGGGATCTATTATGTTTCCACAACTTGATCATAGAACCTTTCTGTAGAAAGCAATCAGAGGAATTACGACAAGTACTTTTGGAACCTCTGGTACAAAGGAGGACAGTACCCTTAATCTTGGCAAGACTGAGAGAGGTCACACCGACCTTAATTTACCTTATATGCCTTCTGTCCTCTTGCAAGTTCACTGGACCTATAACTGAAACCTGGCTCTGCCATTGTAACCTGGGTGGCCTGGGGCAGGTCTAAAGAAATCATACTTTAGACTCGACATTGATTACAACTAGAAAAACCCATAATATCTGTATGGAGAATGAATTGTGGAAGGAAAATGGGAGTTGAATATTAGTTTGGAAGCTCAGATAATCTAAGACATTGCTGCTGAAAGTGTGGTTTAGGAACCAGCAGCACTGATATCACCTCAAAGCTGATTGAATGGTGGAGTCATTCTGAAATGCGGATGACTACAGAAGAAACATGTGAAAGTTCTCCTTGGGGGCATGTTAAGTTTTTGATGATCAGTAGACATTCAAGTGGAGATCTCAAAGAGGCATTTCTACATGAGCTCTTCGGTACACAGAAGAGATCCAGGACAGACATATACATCTGCATGTATAAAGCATTTAGAGCCAGGAGATTAGATGTTATTGTCTAGAGGGAGTTATGTAGAAAACAGGACTGTCCAGAGAGAGGGCTGGCAGAGGAGGACCACCATCAACATATCAAAAAAGGATGAGGAATCTGCAAATGAAACTGTGAAAGGAAAACCAGGGAGGGAGAAGGAAAACGGGAGCATAACTTATAACCCCTCCCCCAACAAGGACTAGAAGCCTCCCTCCCTGTTAATTCATAGTTCCATGTGCCCCATCAGTAAAGACATGGTCCTCGGGTGGCGTACCTCCTCTCTCCATCGCCTCTTTGTTCATGATGAGTGTGTATTCATAAATGCCCCCAAGCACGGCCTCTGTGATGTAGTGGGTTCCAAAATCACGGAAGAGATCTCTGTACTCCCCGTAGCTGTATTCCAAGGGCAGCCGCTTGACTCGCTGAAGGAATTCGTGATGCAGCATGAGGTTTCTGGGTTTCAGCTTGTAATGTGCTACTTCAAGGTCAGAGCGCGCATGCAGGAATTTGCTTTTCTAAATGAAAGACCAACAAGGGAAAAGCAGACCTTTAAAGTTAGGAATCTGGAATGAGAAGATGAACTTTGCAAATATCATCCGGTGTTCTGGCCAGGGGTCATCACTCATGATTCCTTTAGGAGACCTGAGGGAAGATGGCCCCTTTGACAAGCCTTCATTTTCCAGAAATATTCTGATGTCCTTTTTGGCTTGGAAGAGCTTGCTCTTTGCTCATTTCCTTACAGTGGCAAATAAGAAAGAAGAAGGAAGGGAAGCAGCAGCAGACAGGGCAGGCAGCAGCAGGTGCCTGTGCACCATTCTAAGGGGAGACGGGGTGTGCTGACCGGCAAAGGCAACTTCTTGATTGATGCTTCTTTTTTTAAAGAAAAGAAGAAGTGTTAGTTGCTCAGTGGTGTCCAACTCATTGAAACCCCATGGACTGTATATAGCCCGCCAGGCTCCTCTGTCCATGGAATTCTCCAGGCACAATACTGGAGTCAGTAGCTATTCCGTTTTCCAGGGGAGAAGGGAATGTTCCTGACCCAGGGATTGAACCCAAGTCTCCTGCATTGCAGGCAGATTCTTTACCATCTGAGCCACCAGGTAAGCCTCTTTTAAAGAGAAAAAATGTTTATTCAGGGAGCTATACACTGCACAGCCGAGTATGGGCCATCTTGGAAGGCAAGAGAAGCCACAGGAAAAACACACTCCACAGACAAAGGATGGACCATCTCAGAAGGTGAGAGGGGGCAGTTGATGCTCTTTAAACTCTGAAGAAAAGGTACTCAAGAAAGAGTAAAAGCAATGCTTTAGGAAGGCTGGACGCTGCAGTGCATGCCAAGGGTCAGCAGACCACAGCCTGCACACAGGATCTGGTATTTGGATCTGCAATCCAATTTCACTGCAATGCAGTCATGCCCACATATCTGTTCATTGTTCATCACTGCTGTCACCCTATGATGGCAGAGCTCTGTGGTTGCTACAGAGACCCTTCAGCCTTGCGAAGCCTGAAATATTTACTCTTTGGCCCTTTACAGAACAAGTTTGGTGACCCCTGGTGTGTGGAAGAGACTGAAAGATGGAGATGCTAGCTGAAGGGCAAACATCCAGGGATGTTAATGTAACCTGAGGTGAGGCGTTCGTACACTGTGGTGAAGGCTGGGGAGAAGGTGAATAATTAGGAAATGCACATTCCTCCTGCATCTTAAAACTCTTAGCCAGCTTGACCTGTCAGCTCTATAAGTCATGCCACCTCTGCTCCCTGCCCTGCTCCCCCATCCTAGTCCTGCCACAGCCATCCATGACTCCTTCTTCCACATCTTTCCAACTTTGCAGTCGCTAGATGCCCTGTTCATGGTCTTTCTACATATTTTAGGTTTCCTCTTCTGCTTGGGTTATGACAAAAACTTTCCCACTGATCTCCTTTCTCCCTTTAGCTGCCCTCAGCGCTCCAATCAGAGTTGATGTCCTAAAAACTGTTAATACCATTAAATGCCACTCTGGGTTTAAAACAAAACCCAGCATTGGCCTCTACATTGCCCAAGAATAAAATCATTACTCCATTACTCTGAAAGTAAGAATGTCACGCTCTGTCCCCCAATAGCCTCCTGGCTTCAACTTTTACAACCATGACATCCACCCTCCACCATACTGTACTTTTCTCTACCACCTACATCATACCTCAATATCCATCTAATGTCTTACTCTTCCCCACATCTGTCATTCTCTCATAATATAATTTTGCACATGTTCCTTCTGCCAGACATGCTCTTCCCTCCCTTTTCTGCCTGGCACACACCTTCTCATATTTAAAATTTCTGCTTAGCTGTGCTTTCTATGTGATGGCACTCTTGAATTTCCCTGACACTCCACCTCCCAGGACTGCACTGCATGTTGCTTATATTTCCTTTATAGAATAAACCATGCTGTACTGGGCTTTCCCAGTGGCTCAACAGTAAAGAATCCACCCGCAACACAGAAGCCACAGGAAACATGGTTTCAAACCCTGAGCTGGGAAGATCCCCGGAAGGAGGGCATGGCAACCCACTCCTGTATTCTTGCCTGGAGAATATCATGGACAGAGGAGCCTGGTGGGCAAAGAGTCAGACACAACTGAAGTGACTTAGCACACACACATGCATGCTGTATTACAACTGATGTCAAAATCAGGACTGTTATCTGCATACATGTTTGCTGCTCCTACTAGACTGTGAACTTGAAGGCAAGAATTGTGTTATACTTGTCTCTAGGTTCCAGGTATCTAGTTGAGTACCTAGCATGAGGTAACCTTATGTAACTGGCTGTTTAAATCAGGGAGCTGGGAGGGAAGGGGAGAGAGATGGAAAGAGAAAAGGAGACAAGGATGGTACCCCTCTCTTTCCCTCCTAACAAGACAAGTTCCTTTTTAATCAGTCCTGTCCTTTACCACTATATTTTAGTCTTCAGCACTTACCAAGTGCCATCCTGAACCTAAAGATGAAAGAAACAGCCTCTGTGCCTGAGGAGCTCACAGCTGAGAAGATGAAGAAAAGCAAGCAGAGACGATTGCAGTCTAATTCATGTTTATGGCTCATTTTCTACTGGTTGGTAATTTGGCAGCAGAACTTAAGCCCCTCACCATTCCTTTTTTCTCACATAAATCACTGTAGACTTTTAATTTCCTCCATGTTCCTCTCAGATTAGTTTTCTACTACATCATGCCCATGCAGCAAACTCTCAGTGACCAGGGAATAAATATACATGGTCCTTTCTGGAATCCAAGGTTTTCCAAGCCCTCCTGTCACCTTACTTCCCATTCCAACTGCTCCCCTTCCACTAAGTCACGGGCTTTGACCTTCACCTTATGAGCAATAGGGAACAGATGATACGATCAGGTTAGTATCAGAAAAGCATTTTTCTGGCAGCACATACATTTGAAGGGGCAAACTGAAAGACAGGAGTCTTATTAGGAGGGCTGAAATCAGGGGTGAAAGGGCCTAGGCTAGCGAAGATGTAATCAGAGTTTGATTAAGAAATATTGGATAGCCATATCTCAGTCAGTAAAGAATCCACCTGCAAGGCAGAAGACCTGGGTTCGATTCCTGGGTCCGAATGATCCCCTGGAGAAGGAAATGGTAACGTACCCCAGTATTCTTGCCAGGAAAATTCTATGGACAGAGGAGCTTGGTGGGCTACAGTCCATGGGGTTACAAGAGTGTCTGACATGACTTAGCGACTGAACCATCACCACTGAGACATGGAAACAACTTAATGTCCATCAACAGATAAAAGGACAGAGAAGATGGGGTACATACATACAACGGAATGCTACTCAGCCATAAAGAGAACAAAATAATGCCATTTGCAACAACATGGATGAACCTAGAGACTATCATACCAAGTGAAGTAAGTCAAACAGAGAAAGGCAAATAACCATATAATACCACTTATATGTGAAATTGAATATATATATGTATATATATATATACCTGAACCACTTTTTTATAGAGCAGAAATTAATACAACATTGTAAATCAACTAGACTTCAATAAAAAAAAATAAAAAAGAAATATTAATGAGTGAAAGATCTGGTGGCTAACACAGATGGGCTTCCCAGGTGGCGCTAGTGGTAAAGAAGCTGCCAGTCAATGCAGGAGACATAGAGACATGGATTCAATCCCTAGATCGGAAAGATCCCCTGGAGGAGGTCATGGCAACCCACTCCAGTATTCTTGCCTGGAGAATCCCACAGACAGAGGAGCCTGGCAGGCTATGGTCCATAGGGTTGCAAAGAGTCAGATACCACCAAAATGACTTAGCATAAACCACAAGCCATATGTGGGAATAAAAAGAAAAGAAAACCAACTACGATTCAGATATTCTTAGCCTGGAAAAGCAGAAGGAAAAGAATGCTATTTAACACAGAGAGCTTGGGAGGAGGAACTTGCTTTGGAGTGTCCACAAGGCATCTGGATAATGATACCCAGAAGAGTGGGTGGAGCAGGTCTGAGCTTCCCAGAAAGGGCAGAAGTGGTGGTGGAGGCTCATGCTTGCCCTGATAGAGGAGCAGGGTGAGTAGAAAAGGACACTTGGGGTGGGTGGCTATAGAGGAAGAAGAAAGGATGACCAAAAATTAAATAGAGAACAAGTGGAGCTGTTAGAAACCAGGAAGAAAACTAACTGATAAGGAGCAGAAAGCAACCAAGAGAAACAGGAATGTGACTCCATCAACAGCTCCAAGAAGTTGGAGATGAGGTCTTGGATAACATTCTGGAGGGGAATTTCAGCTGAAGGTTTAGAACAGAAGTCAAGTTGTTGGGAGTTGAAAAGTCTTCAGAAATAATTTAGTTTTGGCAAAACTATGCTCCTTAGTTTAATAAAAACCAAGTGAAAAGCTTATTAGTAAATAAGAGTACAAAAAGAAATAAGAAAATGAGAGTACAGAGAGAACTATATTCGATATCCTATGAAAAACCACAATGGAAAAGAAGGTTTGATTCCTTCTTTTATATATATATATATATATATATATATATATATGTATAACTGAATCACTTTGCTGCAACAGAAATTAGTACATTGTGAATCAACTATACTTCAATAAAAATATTAAAACTGAAAAAATAACACAGTACTGTAAATCAACTATACTCCAATAAAATTAAAACAATTTAAAAATAAACAAAAACAACGCCATACTAAAAATGTAGAGTAAATAATTATAGAAGGCCACCACTGGCTGGTCTTTCTGAAAAGTAAAGTTAATGTAAGACCAAGGTATTTTTTGTGAAAAGCTTTTCAATGTAACAAATATAATTGGTTGTCAGGACTAACAGCAATATAGTATACAGACATCCGTGGATATGAAAATTCAAAAGAATACATAGGAATGGAAAAGCAAGCAAAGGGTACCTACCGTGTGAGAGAATCGTTTGATCCTGCTAATAAAATGTTGGCCAATATTACTTGTGCTGCTATAGCCAAGTTCAAATATTCCACTAAGTTTCAAACCCACGTTGAAACTAGACATGCTAATTGCCGTCCCTGTGACGTTACGTTCGAAATCTGAGTACGATTCATATTCTGTCAGCGTAAATTCATATTTGCCTTGGGTCTGAAGGAAGAAGAAAACAAATGTTCCATATGTCATTTGACTCACATCAGTTCAATTCAAATCAACAGACACACACTGTACTCTCACTATGTTGCAGGTACTAGACTAGGTACACTGGATGCAAAAACCTCAGAGGCATACATGTCTCCACCCCCAGGGCTCTTGATCCAGCAGGAGAAACAGATGTGCCCAGCATGGTGAGCTGACACTCAGAGGTGGGTGCTTGATTTGGGTTTCAATGGGCAGAAATGTAGGAGAACACTCTAGGCTGTGGACTTGGGTTCAGGCAGAAACGTGAGAGGGGAGGGTGGGGCGAGAAACTGCAGGGGTTGAAAATGCGAGTGTGGCTGTATCAGAAGATTAAGAATGAGGAGAAGACAGAGGGTCCGTGAGAGAGGGGGCTGGCATCTAGATATTGGGGCTTTGGGATGACTTGCTGAAATGTGGACTTAGTCCAAAGATGAGAGGAAGAAAGCCAACAGAGGAAATTGGCTGAGCACCAGGAAATCCATGACAGAACAGAAGAGCGGTTGGGTTGGAAGGGATGGATCTGGGGTCAGAGAGACAAACCGGTGCAGAGGAGGAGCTCTGTGGCAGCTCACGAGGGGCTGGTGAAAGGTCTTGGGATGGGGTATGGGGGTGGGAAGACGCAGGGACAGAACAGCAGAAAGCCTTTGCGAACTTCGAGGAGCTGTTTGCTCGAAAATTGGTGCTCATGGTGCTGTGCAGAGGGAAATATCTAGGGTGCTGCCTCAGTGGCCTCCAAGTAACCAGCCCCAAATTGTCTTCACCCCATCCCACTGGCTTCTGGATGCTTGCAGTCCCCCATAACACTTCAGTTTCTGAGGAAGAAAAGCAGATGTGATTCCGAACACGACCTGGAGTGAGAGACCTGAGGTGGGGTGCACCATTTTCTCACTGTGTAACCCTGGACATTGGGCTTAACCCCTCTGTGCCTCAGTTTCTTCTTGTATAAAATGGAGACAGTAACAGTTCCTGCCAGTGGGGCTTGTTCTGAGGGTTGAGTTTATGTGGGTAAAACACTGTACAATGCCTGCCACAGTGCTCCAAAAACAGCTACAGAGAGGAGACTCTGAGATACATATCCTGCCTGGGTTACCAGGAGGAGGAGAAACGTCTGCTCTGAGATTCTCCTTTGAAAGTGGAGGCCATGTATGGCAAAACCACTACAATACTGTAAAGTAATTAGCCTCCAATTAAAATAAATAAATTTATATTAAAAAAAAATAGAGATACACACAAAAAAAAAGTGGAGGCCAGAGGGATGGTGCTGGTCAACACGGGGGAAGGTGTATTTGTCCCAAGACTCATTTTGTAATTTTTAGCCAATAACTGTGTGGGGGTGTGGAGGAAACCAGGAAGGAAGAGAAAGGAGAGGTAGCAGCTTAACATTCAGGACTATACCATTTTATTTTTATCTTATTTTTAAATTTTTATTTATTTATTTATGTATTTATTTGGCTGCACCAGGTCTTAGTTGCAGCTTATGGGGTCTAGTTCCCTGACCAGGGATTGAACCCAGGCCTCCTACATTGGACATGCAGAGTCTTAGGCATTGGACCACTAGGGAAATCCTAGGACTGCATAATTTTAGACATGAAAACAACCAACCTGGTTGTCCAATCCAGTCCTCTCATTTTACAGATGAGGAAACAGGTCCAGAACAGAGCAAGAATTTAGCCTAAAGTACAATGGGGTCCAGGGTACAGCCAGGCCTGGCACCCAGATCTGCCCCATCTGTCTTAGGTGTGCATTATGCAGTGACATAGTCTACTCTGAACCCCACTCCCTGTGAGACTGCTTTTAAGTCTTTGTGTTAATAACACAGGCTTATCTTGGTAGAACATTTTTTTTAGGGGGGTGGTGGTACTTTTTTTTTCTTTTTCATTTACTTTTATTAGTTGGAGGCTAATTACTTTACAATATTGTAGTGGTTTTTGCCATCAAGAAAAAAGTCAAATAAATAACTTAACTCTGCACCTAAAGCAACTAGAGAAGGAAGAAATGAAGAACCGCAGGGTTAGTAGAAGGAAAAAAAACTTAAAAATTAGGGCAGAAATAAATGCAAAAGAAACAAAAGAGACCATCGCAAAAATCAACAAAGATAAAAGCTGGTTTTTTGAAAAGGTAAATAAAATTGACAAACCGTTAGCCAGACTCATCAAGAAACAAAGGGAGAAGAACCAAATCAACAAAATTAGAAATGAAAATGGAGAGATCACAACAGGTAGAATATTTTATAACTTACAGAAATGCTTAGAACAATGCCTGGTTCTAATAGGCAAGGACTTGATAACAACAGAAGTTGATTCCTGTTGTCTGGCTGTCTCTGGATGCTAGAATTCTTGCATGTCTGTCATGATGTCTCTAGCATCACCAGGCATCTGGGATATCTATATCTTTGCCATTCAACTGACTACATTCATTCAAATCACTGACTGACCAGTGATTCCAGTCACAAGGTTAAGTTGCTTGGGTCACTTCCTACCCCACTGATATAATTCTTCGGGGCTTCCGTGGTAGTCCAGACGGTAAAGGATCCACCTGCAATGCAGGAGACCCAGGTTCGATCCCTGGGTCAGAAGTTCCCCTGAAGAAGGGCATGGCAACCTACTCCAGTATTCTTGCCTGGAGAATTCCATGGACAGAGGAGCCTGGCAGGGCACAACTGAGCGACTAACACACACGCGCACGCACACACACACAGACACACATGTCTGCATGAACTCTGGAAGTCTAGCTAGCAAGTCCCAGCTGTGATACTAAGGTTTATATATGAAAGTCTATGAAATCTTTCAAAGGCAAAATAAAGGACCTACAGTGTCTATATTTGCTTTTGATCCAAATGTGAAACTGAAGCTACAAGTTATAAATAAGAAAGCAAAAATAGTTTTTTTTCATTAAAAAAAAAAAAGAGTTAACACTTCCTGAGACTCACAATTAAACCAGGTATTGTGTGTGTGCCAAGCATTTACACTCACTTAACCCCTCTGTACAGGTAGAACCTTTAAAATCCCAATTTAAAGATAGGAAAATGGAGGCTCAGAGTATATAACATGATATAGATGGTAAGTTGCAAAGACATCTATGAGACTCTAAATCCCAAGCTGTGCTTGTCTCTTTATGGCATTTTTGCTATTGTCATTGGTATAATTATGCTACTACATATCTGCACTGCCTCTACTATACATAGCAGACTGGCGTCACCACGTGTGTCTAGAGGAAGCCACCACCCATTTTACATATGAAGGACTGAAGCTCAGAGAGAAAATGCGATGCATCTGAGCTGGCCCAGCAGGGGACTGCTGACCCGTCCCGACCCATGCTTCTGGCCCCTCTGCCTGCCACGGCCCTGAGGTGGCTTCCTGACTGGCACATACCTGTGGAGTGAAGTTTTCCACGTTGTATGGTTTCCGAAACCTCGTGTTGAGTATGTAATGGGGGGAGCACACACCGGCGTAATACCTGTGATCTAGAACCGGGCCCTCCAAATTGTTTGTGAACAAATTAATCCTGCCGGGAAGAGGTGGAAAAGGGGGTGAGGTGAGGATATAATCCCAACTGGTGAACCTACTCAAGGACACCCAAATTCCTGGGCACAGCACACGTGGCCCTCAATATCTGTTGAGGCTTTATCCCCTGCCACTCCCAGCCACAACCACAAAGCCAGTCCCCCACTATCTGGAGGGGGTTCTCCCTCCAGTCCATTTTGCTCCTTCTCTTCTTGGCAAGGGCTGTTCCCTCTGCCTAAATATCCTTCCAGCCACTCATCACTTGCTTAAGTTGCTCAGTTGTGTCTGACTCTTTGTGACCCCATGGACTGTAGACCACCAGCCTCCTCTGACCATGGGATTTATTGGGCAAGAATACTGGAGTGGGTTGCCATGCCCTCCTCCAGGAGATCTTCCTGACCCAGGGATCGAACCTGAGTCTCCCTGCATTGGTAGGAGGGTTCTTTACCGCTTAGCCACCAGGGAAACCATACTCCCTGCTTTATCTCTTCCTTATCTTTATAGACTAAGTTCTTTTGTTGCTTGTGGTGGGAAGCCTTTGCTGACACTTGTACTAAGCTGCATTAGAGGCCCTTATTAGATCCCATGCTCACCCCATTAGTGCATTTATTGTTCTGCACCTACTGTAGTTACCTTACAAGAATGGTCTACGTGGGAGCTGAGAACACAGACTCTAGAGCCAATGCACTGACATTCACAAGTTATGTAACCTCAGGCATACCAGTTAGCCTCTGTACCTAGATCTCCCTATCTATAAAATGAGAACAAAGAAAATCCTATCTCTTGGAGTGCCTGTGAGGATTACATGTATCCATATTTACTAAGTGCTTAGAACATGGCTTGGTCTGAGATAAAGGCTTATTATTATTATTTACGTGTCTGTCAGCTCCCCAAGGTTCTGTGCTCCTTAGAGATGGTGGTTTTCCTTTTAATTTCTGTATGCCTCCCATCACAAGACACTAAATTAATTCCAATTTACTGAGTTTCTAACTGGAAACAGGCACAGTCACGGATGGCTTAGGACATCACCTTATGTAGTGTGCCCAAAGCCCTGGGTAGTAGATGTCATTATGTCCATTTAGAAAGGATGAAAATCTCATCTCTACCTCAACGTTGTTATTTCTCACCACCTCCTAAGGCAAGCCTCCATTTCCCACCTGCTTTGACTATGACTGACAGCTCCATTTCTTTTGTAAAAAGGAGATCTGTTTCCTTTCAGTTTCTGCCTATTGGTCTGCTCTGCTCCTACCAGAATCATTTCAGGCTGTCTTTCCTCTGATAGGGTTTCATGTAGCATAATAATGCATATTCATTTATTTTCTTTAATACCATAATAATCAATTACACATGTTGGTTCAATGAATCCATAGGTATTATTACTATACCCATTTAACAGATGAAGAAAGTAAGACATAGAGAGGGTAACTGACCTGCCCAGCAGCTGGTGGGGCCAGGACTCAAAGTCTGAGCATCCCAGTCTAGTCAAGAGCAGAGTCTGCTTTCTTCCCACCACATATTGTGCCTCTCATGTGTTAGTTTATTACCATGGCATTAGCTTATTTATCCCTCACAGACCTGAAAGGAAGGGCATGACTGACTTCTGTCTACAAATGACAAAACTAAAGCCCCACAGCCATGCTTCTGCCCCTCTTGCAGGGTCCAGTTGGCTTCTGCTGCTGGCTCTGTATGTCCACCCTGTCACCCCCTTTGACCTGTGACCCCCCAGGAGCTCTGACTTCCCAGACCTCAGCTTCCTCATCAGGGAGATGGGGCTTATCATCACTAGTGTCTAGGGTGGTCCTGGGAGGAGGTCCTCCCCACATGAGGAGTCTGTGTCTCTAACAGCATCCTTTCAGGATGGAGACCTGATGTTTGCTTAGGAAGAAGGAGAATGCCGTCCAGGGCCTCTCTGCTTCCCACACTGCGTCGCATACGCTGATTTGTGAGGGGAGGCCCTGACTTTTCCCCTGGAGGCTGAGAGGCTGCACGGCGCGGCAGGAAAGGAGGCTGAGCGCCGGGCCAGTCAGCCCCTTGTGATCCCTCACCGCCCCAGAGGATTTAACCAGACTAGCCGCACACACACTGCCCACAGAGCCACGCTGGAAATGCACCCCTGCCCTGGCCAGTCACGTAGTGGCCTCTGCTCTGGGCCAGCCTCTCTGCTGAGGCCTCGGCGTAGAGAAGCAGATAAACCTCCCTGGCAGTTGTCAACAGCTTTCAAAGGTAATGCTTAGAAAGTGCCTGACATGGTCACAGAGCAGGCATCAAATAACCCTTCCCCCAGCCCTCGTGTGGAGCCTCCATGGCCCCCCACACGGCTCTCTCCTCAGTGCTCCCTCTCTGCAGTCACATCTGGTCCATCTGCCGTGGCACGTGCTCCCAGAGCCCCCGGGTCTGTCGTCAGGAAGCAGCTGCGAGCATCCACTAACACATCAGCCTTTTTCAGAAAGGCACAGAGGAGCTGCTCTGTCTACTGTTCCCTCCCTCTCTCTTCTCCAGATCACATTTACTTGTATCTTCTTCCCGCTCCACAATAGAAAGAAGGTAACTTACCCACTGGCCAGGTTGCCAATGGCCCAGTATGGCTCCATTTCCTGCTGACATTTTTTATAAATCTTTCTACAGTTCGCCTCATCTGACTGGTCTCCACAGTCATTGTCCCCGTTGCAAAGAAGTCTTCGGTTTATGCACCTCCCTGGGAAGGAGAAATGGGGTTACCCACAGGTCGAGGCCAGGAAGGGGGGTTCACATGGCTTGAGACCCACCATGACTCAGATTCTTGGCTGCTCTGTTTGCATTGGTGCTCATGTATCGGGGGTGAGTGGTCAATGGAATTCACCGTTTATTCCCTGCCAGAAGCCAGTGTTGTGTTTCTGAATGCTCTTGAGGGCAGATTTGCTAGGCAGACAGGAAGGAAGGCTGGACTCCTCTGCTTGGGACTGGAGAGAGGAGGTCAGTTCGGAGAGTCCTGCAATAGTACCAGTTGTGGCACCTTCCATGTGTTACCTGACTCCCTGTTTCAATATCCTCATCTGTAAAGTAGAGACACCATCATATCTACCCCAAAAGGTCACTGGGGATTCAAACAAATAAATGAAACAGTGCTGACTCATGGTAAGAGCTGGATATGTGTTGTTATTACTATTATTAGTGCTTTGATGGTCCAAATGCACACTGCTGGTAAATACTGGCAGGAGGATTGGAACCTATAGCTTTCTTATCACAAACTCGCCCCATTAAACGGTACTGCCTTCAACATCAGAGCCACTCAGACTAGTAGATATTAAAAATATTTAGACTGTACATTTAAAGTTATTTGAGGCACCTCCACTTCCTTGAAACTCTTTTCCCCATTGACTTGACTTCCTTTCTTATTTGCATATCTTTTGGGAGTAAAGCCCATAAAACAGGTGGCCATTTTCACTTAAGCATGTGTGTTCATTTTAAACCAATGTTCTTTGGGTATTAAAGGCAGAAGAGTAACAATCTGGTCTTCAAATGTTTGTTACAAGGCATTTAAACTAAAGCTGGCCTGAATAACCATTATTGGCTTTGGTCAGAATCATGGAACACCAGTCATAATGAGTCCATGAACACACGTAAACATCTTTCAGATTTACTGTATATAGCTCTGCGTTCGCAATACTGCCTAGAAATTGCTCTAAGAATCCCTAGTTCTTTCTGGAAAGAAACTAAAGCACAGTTCACAAAGTTGTGGCAAATGTAGAGAGCTGCAACTTGCACCTAGGTAATCTGGGTCAAAATACTCTCATTTTTGCTGGAGTCTTCGAGAAAAAGAGTCAGGTTTCCCTGAATTAGTTAACGGAATTAATTGGGAAAAAAAAAAAAGTGAAGTCACTCAGTCATGTGCAACTCTTTGCGACCCCATGGACTGTAGCCTACCAGGCTCCTCCATCCATGGGATTTTCCAAGCAACAGTACTGGAGTGGGTTACCATTTCCTTCTCCAGGGGGTCTTCCTGACCCAGGGATCGAACCTGGGTCTCCCGCGTTGTAGGCAGACGCTTTACCGTCTGAGCCACCAGGGAATGTAATTTGAATTTCTAAATTCCTAATTGTATCTCCTCCACTTACCTCCTAAGTGATTGTGGGTGAGTAACTTCTCCAAGTCTCAATTTCTCAATTAGTAAAATGGGGGTAATATTAACACCTACATGGTAGGGGTTTTTTTTAATGAAATAATATCTGTAAAAAGAGGTCAAGGAGGAAAAGGAGGCCTCCTGGCCTGACACATGACTTTGATATTGAGCACTAGACAATAGCCAGTGCTCCCATCATCACATGCCATCACCTCACTTGATACCCATCCCCTCCCACTCCTGTGTCCCTTTATACCTGTCTGCGCACACACAAAGCCTTCACATCGCACTTGACTTCTGCATGGTCTGTTGGAAACACAGTCTTCAACTTCCTTGTCGGAGAAGTTGCATGGTTCCCCATAGAACTGAGAGGGCCGGATCAAGTAGGCATGTCTATACTGTAGCAGAGAGGAGCAAGGTGAGACAAAGCCAGAGCCTCGGGGACATGGGGAGCAGAGGGTACACTTGAGGATCTATATTGCTACTGGCTGTTTGCCTATTTCAAATAGCCTGGGACTCTCTGAGGGCAGGGACCTTATCTTCAGTCTCTGTACCACAGTGATCAACACAGCTTTGTTGAATGTGGGGAAAGCATGGACTTCCGAGTCAAAGGCAGTAAGTGAACTGATGGAGCCAGTTCAGTCTTTCAGCTTGATTAATCCAATGGGTTGATTCAAGTATTCTCATTTATTAAGTAGCTTAAAATGCAGAGGTATCCATTTTGGAGCCACTGACTCTGTTACTTTCTAGTTATGTGACACTGGGTAAGTTACTTAAGCACTGTGATCTCAACTTACTAATCTGTAAAACAGGGATAATTATGTACAGCTATGTAGTTTCAATTATATATGAAATTTCATTATGTTGTCTGGTACAGAATAGGCATTCAATTTCTTCTGCTTACTTTTCTTTTGAATTATTAATAATTTCAGCAGTAAATATTTCTCTGTCTCTACTTTCCTGTTTGCTTAATCCAGAAATATTGACTTGATTTCCAAAATATTGATTCAGCCACACAATGCTGAAAAAACGTAGGTGCTTTTTATGCTTGTTTGTACTTGATCATAGTTATGGCCTCTGGACTGTCCTCAAGGAGGTCACAGCTGGTGTGGTGGTCATGATGATAAACACAAGGCATGACAACACATTGAGAGGGTGCCACGACAGGGACAGAACAGAGTGCTCCATAAACACAGAGGGGAATCCTCAGTGCAGACTTAGGAGATGGTGAAGCGACACCTAAGCTGGGCCCCAAAGGGTGAGCAGACACGTCAGGCAAACATGGAATGCTGGCATGAGGAGGGGAGAGAAAGCCAATCCGGATGGAGGGAATTGCTGTGCCAAACCTGAGAGGCTAGAGAGTATGTGCCTTATTCCAGAAAACAAGAAATCCATCATGGCTGGAGAGAAGAGTTAAAGAGGGAGAGTGATAAGAGATGGAGGGACATGGAGCCAGGAGCAAATAAGGCAGACCCTTCTGGGCCTTAATAGGTTGGATTTAGTACTTCTTCACGGTAAAATGAGAAACCACTGCAGGGAAAGGAAATGATCAGATTTGGGTGACTTCCCAATGCTAGCTGCAGTCAAGATTTTGGTGCTACCAAAGGGGGCAGAACTGACAGCAGTCCCTCTGAAGACTGACGCACTAACCAGCCACAGTTATTATGTGCATGGTATCTGGAAATCTAGAAAAGAAATATAGACAACCATCCACCTCTGCTCCTTTACATTTCTAGGGCGTCTTTCTTCCTAGAAGGCAGAAGCTGGCAGGACAGGGATAAAGTCTGCAAAGAAGATACTAGAAGACTAGCACCAGGCACCAGAGACAAAATGGGTTTGAGGGCTGTGGAGATGATAAAGGAAAGACATCTCTCAATCCCTGTTGAAAGAAATGATGATGAACTCCCAGCCACTGACCCTGCAGACATGATGTCCAACTGAGGGAACATGCATAGCAAAGTCTGAGTGTAGAGCTCTGACTGGATGAGTGGATGGATGAATGGCTCACATTGGGTCTTCCTGGTTTATGGTGCAGATGAAGCAATTATCCAAATAACTGGATCAATGTTAATCACGTCAGCAATAAAGCCTGCTTTGGGAACTGAATGTATCTGCTGGGCTCTCAACATTGATCCAATTAAGTGTGTAATTGTCCCGGGCCTATTCCACAGCCTCTTTAGGGTCTTAGCTCATGGCTGCTTTGGTTTCCCAAGGAGCTGGGGGAAGTGAGAACCGTTCTCTATTCTTTGACAAAGGTGCTGTTCTTAGACCTGGATCCTGCATCAGCCCTCCTGTGACAAGAAAGCTCGAAGAACAAATACTGCAGAGACTGTGTGTTTTGACTGGTTGAACTGGCTAGACAAGAAGCCAATTGCCCAAGTTCAAGATCTGTCTTTACTACTAAGTGAACCCAAGAATTCACTTACCTGCTCTGGGTCTCTGTTGATCTATCTGCCTAACAGAAAGGGTAACAATTATTCTCCCTTATAGAGATTTCAGAAAATGTAACGAGATCAAACACATATTTATGGAGCACCTCAAACATGTTAAACATTGACCTATACACCAAAGACACAGAACTGAAAAAGTTTTTAAGCGCTTGCAGTTTAATAGAAAGGCAAATATTAAAAGAAAAGTAAATGATGAGTGCTAGGACACAGCAGGAATAAGGAGCTGTTGCAGTTCATAAAGGAATGTCTGGCTAAGGGCAAGGGGTGCTGAGAACTCAAGGAAGGCTTCTCAAAAGAGGCGTTCCCAAAGCAAAGTTTCAAATCATGAGTAGATGTTAGTCAGTGAAGGAAGTGGGAAGGACATTTCAGCCTGAGAACAGAGTGTGAAATGGTCAGAAAAATACATGTTCTATGTGCTGGCGTGGGGGATGTTCTGTGAAGATGTGGCCCAGGTCTATCTAAGGTGTGGGGGGCCTTGAAGACCCTGAGTCTGGACTTGATCCTAAAGGCCATACATAGACTTTGGATGTTCAAGCTGGGGAAAGACCAGCCAGACTTTCATTTTCAATGGCTCCCCTGGGTGCCCCATGAAAGATGGATTGAAAGAATAAGGCTGGAGACAGGAAGTCTAATTAGGAAGCTGCTAATGGGAGAAAGGACAGATATGCTTCAAAACAAACCTGAAGGATCAAAGGCAGGATCTGACTGCTCCTTGGAAGCTCAGAGGAATAAAATTAATTCATTAAATCAGCCAACATTTATCAAACTCCTACTATGACCCAGCTACTGTCAGTAGTGCATTGACTGATCTTGCTGAGGGGTAGGGCTCCTGGAAGCTTAGAGTCTCCCAAGATCTGGGTACCTACCCTTTTCTTCTGACAGGGATCACACGTGGTCCAGGAGGACCAGCTGGACAGCTCACAATCAATAGGCAATGGCGTGACATCCACACTCCGCGTCTGTCTAGTCTTGGCAAGGCTCTCATTGACTGCGTTTGACCCAAGAGAGGGTGGCCTTTCACCTCTAAAGGTCATCACAGAGAAGAGAGTCAAGTATCAGAAGGTAATTAAGTCTACATTCCACTGCCTATCCATCCATTCAATAAATATATATTTGCTCATTTATTTATGCAAGGCTGGCTTCCCTGGTGGCTCAGATGGTAAAGAATCTGCCTGCAATGTGGGAGACCTGGGTTCAATCCCTGGGTTGGGAAGGTCCCCTGGAGGAGGGCATGGCAACCCATTCCAATATTCTTGCCTGGAGAACTCCATGGACAGAGGAGCCTGGCGGGCTACATACAGTCCATGGGGTCGCAAAGAGTCATACACGACTGAGCAACTAAGCACAGAACATTAGTTTATCTGTCAAGTATCAGTTAACTCATTCAGCAGTATTTATGGAACCCTCTGTTATTGCCTCAGATTACAGCTAGCTACAGTCAAAAGAGGACTGAGCTCTAATCAGAAGATCGTCCATCAACAGCTGGGTGATCTTGGTCTGGTTTTTCGGCCCCTGGGCACTTCACTTTTCTCACCTATATAATGTGAGAACATACCTCATAAGGCTATTTGAAGGATTAAATGAGAAAGTATATGTGAAAGTACGTTATATGCAGGGCTTACAACCGCAGCTAGATGGATGACCTCAAGCAGTACCCTCCCCATCTCGGAGCCTCTGTTTTATCCCCTGGAAAATGAGACGTTTGGACTAGGTGGTCTTTAAGTCACCCTTTCATGTTGTGAGTCTATGAAACTTTTTCTGAGAACAAATCATATTCAGGATACTGTGCGCAAGAGGACACAGAAATATAACACACAGCTTCTGCTCTGGAACTCACAGATTGTCTCAGGATAAGAGAAGACAAACATGACTCCTTCCTAGCTCTTCCAGACTTTACCAAGGAGGCAGGGTTTTTAAGCATGCAGAATGGATGGTGTGAGTTGAGCTTTAGGACATCACTGTGGCTGCAGTGTGGAGGTTAGATGGAGGTGGGGAAAGCCCAGAGGCAGGAAAAGCAGGTAGGAGGCTCAAGCAACGGTACCAATGAGTGATGTGAGCCTGAACCACTCCAGCATCCAGGGGATAGAGAGTGGGGGAGACAGACACATGAGATGTTTTTCAGGGGGAATGGACAGAGTGATGGGTAACAGGATGGGGTGTGGATGAGAGAGAGAAAGGGGCTTAGGATGATGCTGGTTTCTAGTTTGGGTGTGTAGTTAGGTGGGTGGGGAAACCAGGAGCAAAGGAATTTGTTGAGGAAGATGGAGTTGGGGCATGCTGAGTTCCAGGTGCCTGTGGAGTCACTCAATAAATAGTTCCTATATAGATCTGGAACTCAAGAGAGAGATTTGTACTAGAGATACAGATCTGATCATGAAAAGCCATGGGAGAAGATAGAAATATTCCTGAGAGACACCAGCCAAGAATAAGCCCTGGAGAGACTAGTGTCTGGCAGGCTAGAGTGAAGATGGTATATAGAGGTGAGTGGGGGATGGGAGAGGTAGGAGGTGCTACACCTGCAGAACAGTCAAACAACAGGAAACCTGAAATCTGTCTAGAAAATAAGGTAACACTTTTTGTTGAGTCCCTGGCACTCATGGGACATTGAGTAAAAGAGGCAAAGAAAGGGCATGTTCTTTCATCTGTTTGTGCCCCCAGTTTCCCCACGTGTAATACGATGGGTATATTATAATATCTATTTTTCTTCCATCTGAAAAAATGTATAGTAGTGTAAAATTCTTTGTAATTTGTGTTTCTTTTCAAGGCAAAAACAGAGAAAAGAAAAAGAATTAAGATTTGTTGAACATCCAGGACTTGTCAGGTCCTGCATGAGATGTTTCACCCTTGCCATCTCATCTAATCCTGACAGCAATGCTAGAAGGCAGCAACCTCCTAGACAGATGGGGGAAATGGTCAAGAGCCACACGGTGGTCACGCTGGGGTCCAAGCTGAGCTCTGCTCGCCTCTAGTCTCTGTGCTGCGTTCATTTCCCTCTGCTACCCAGAAAGAACCAGGTCAGCATTCCCTCTACCAGTACCCCCGTCTCCAGGCAAGGCCTCTCTCCTCTCCTTGTCCAAGACTCAGTCCTTAGGCAGAGCACCACATAATCTCCACTAGCACATCACTGCAGACAAGGTCATTAACAATCCATTCTCACTTGGCAAAAGTCCTAAAAAGAGGATAATATTAACTACAGTGAAATCCATCTCCATGACCACCCCAGAGGCCAGCAAAAATCAATTGCCTCGTAAAGTTGAATGTTTAATGAAAGGTCAAAGACTACTGGAAACCATAGGTGGGTTCTTTAAAATGGTTACTTGAGGCGGGATGCTGCATAGCAGTGGCGAGGGTGGGGGTGGGGCTTTATATGTGCTCGTATCTCCCAATTTGCCCAGGTTGGACAAAACAATATTGTCTGTGATTTGGCTTCACCTTAAGTATGTATTTGACTGCGCTGCAGGGTATCCTCTTCCTGTTTCCACTAAGAAACCGCTACACTGTGTTTTCAGCCACTATCCACCCAATTCAGGCCAAGGTGGAGACTGAGTAGATAAGTAATGTGCACACATGCTATTAAGAGTCACAATTACTTTCCTCTCTGAGATTTGAAAGCCTGTTAATGGGCAAGATGATCACTTACAGAAGGAACTTGGTAAAAGGTAGTTATAACCACCAGATCTCTCATTTTTGCACCCAATTTTCATTACAGAGGTGGCAATATAATGAGGTAATCAGCTGAATAAATAGTCTGTTTGTAAATTACACTGGATAAGATGTGTGTGGTTTATTAGTACTACAAAATGCAAATCTGAAAGCAAGTGTGTGCATGCTGAGTCGCTTCGGTTGTGTCCCACTCTTTGCTACCCCATGGACTGTAGCCTGCCAGGTTCCTCTGCCCATGGGATTCTCCAGGCAAGAATACTGGAGTGGGTTGCCATGCCCTCCTCCGGGGATCTTCCCGACCCAGGGATCAAACCCACATCTCTTAAGTCTCCTGCATTGGTAGGTGGGCTCTTTACCACTGGCACCACTTGGAAGCCCTCTGCAAGCAAGGCTAGCATTCAATTGCATCTTTAATTCCTGGGACTAGCATGGACCCAACAGAAGACAGGGGCAGTCAGGACCTCTGTGTATGGCTATTGTAACATGTGCCTTCACACTATGAATTTACAGAGGTTAATCAGATGGATGTTCTGACCACTGACTTGACTCTGTCATTCAAAATTCTCTGTATGCTTCTAATGTTGAAAAATTAAACAGGCCCAGAGAACTACAGAAAACAAATAATAAATACTCAGGTACTCACAACCCAGGATTGGCAATTGTTAACATTTTGGTATACTTCCTTCAAGTCTTTTTTTTTTTAAATAAAAAATAACCTTATAAATTTGACATCTGTGGTTGACACCAGCTCCAGATCCATTTTCCTCTCATATTCTTCAGAGGATACTACAGTCATCAATTTGGTGTATATCCTTCCAGTCTTTCAAATGTTTACATATACACATATAGACACAAGATACAGCACTGCTTTTGTGAGCTGCACTCATACTAGGCATAGTATTCTATAACTTGCTTGTGTCAATCAACATTGTGTTTCTGGGGACTGCCCTGATGGCCTGGTGGCTAAGACTCTGTGCTCCCAAAGCAGGCGGCCCGGGTACAATCCCCAATTAGGGAACTAGATCCCATATACTATCCCATGACAAAAAGATGCTGCATGCCACAGTGAAGACTGAAGATCTCATGTGCCACAACTAAGACCCAGTGCAGCCAAACAAAGAAATTTTTAAAAATATTTAAAAAGCACTGCATTTCTGGCCCATATATGTTGATTCATAAAGATATCTTGTTTGTTCCTTTTTATCTAAATGTTCCATCATAACACAGGCATTTAACGTTTTCTTCTTGAAGGACATTTATAGTTTTTCATTGTTTTGCAATTGCAAACAATGCAACAGCAAACACCCTTCTACAAGGTGTTTGAATGTATCCCCGTGTGAAGTCTGACAAGAGTGAACCTGCCTTTCCTCGAGGTGTGTGGAATGCTAAGGACATATTTCACTCAGTTCTTGTTTTCTACTCTTTCTAACAGGAGTCTCTGATCAAAACAGAGATGGATCCATCATGCACGGCAGGATTAGGTCAGCAGTAAATTGCAAGCCATCAGCTTATATAGATGGGGCATGTCAATATATTTTGGCTTTCTGTAGAAATGCCCTGACACAACAACTTTCTTGTCACACACAATTTGTTAGGCAGCTGCATCTCCTTTGCAAATAAAATCCTTCCTCTTGGCTGGAAGGGGAAGCTTCTGGGTGGCAGATTTTCAATTTCTCTTCTCTGTGTCATTTGCTGTTGTAGACATGGAATTTAAAGCCACATCTCAAGGCAACACATGTGTGGTCCAGAGATAGAGAAATGGCCTTGGAGTCCAGCAAGTCAGATCCACAATGCAGGTGGAGAAGGGATAATGTACTAGCAAGAGGCAGAAAAATACAGGGGCTCTGGAACCAGAAAAAAAAAAAAGATTTGAATCCATATTTTGTTACTTATTAAGTGAGGAATCCTGAAATAGTTACATTCTCTCTCCAAACCTGTTTCCTTCTCTGTGAACTGTAAATGATAGCATTTATCTCAAAGAGCTTTGAGGATTAGACCTAATACATCTAAACACCTTACACAGAGCAGCAATAAACAAACATAGGTCTGTCTTATGAAGATGGAACGAGTATTTCATCCGACTTGATTATAAGAGTAACTAAAATTGGTAGCCTTTCTTAGCTAATATGAAGGACTCAGCATTTTCTGTTGCAGAACTGAAGGCTATTCTTCCATTTCATCTAAGGGATTCAAACACATGCCATGTTCCATGGCTGCATGGAAATCACAGGTCGAGGCCAATGCACCAAATCTGGATTCAGTTAAGGGTTTGAGACTCATGAGATGTAAATGAATCTCTTCTCCTTTCTGAGAACTCACTTGCTCCTCTACATAGGCTGAATAGGGACAACAGCCATCTCATGACATCACTGGAGGGTTCAGCAAGGTTCCCCAGCCTGTCAGCTACACTCATCTTACCCCTTCACTTCCTGCATCTGAGTGAACTTCCTAATATGGAAGTCTGACTGCATCAATCCTTCCATGGGTCCCCACTACTGAGGATGAAGTTCAAGGCTCTTAGCCGGAGTCCTGGTGCCCTCTCAGAGCTCTTTCTAGGACTCCTGCAGACTCCCGACTTGGTCCTGTCTTTGGCAACTCCTCACCTTAGCCTGCTCCCTGGTAGCTCAAATGGTAGTCTGCCTGCAATACGGGAGACCTGAGTTCAATCCCTGGGTTGGGAAGATCCCCTGGAGAAGGGCATGGCAACCCACTCCAGTATTCTGGCCTGGAGAATCCCATGGACAGAGGAGCCTGGCGAGCTGGTGTCCATGAAGTCACATCAGACACGACTGAGCGACTAACACTACTACCACACCTCAGCCTGGACATGCAGCTGCAGGAACAAGCCAGGCTCGCTCATGTCCACGCCCTTGCCCAGGCTGCTGCTTCTTCCTGGAATGCTCTTCACCCTCTCCCATTTGGCAAACACCTACTCCTATAGAAACATTGAGCTCAACCGTTCTCTCTTCTAGAAGCCTCTCCACACTCTTCGGAAAAGCCAATCCCTTCTTCTCTTGTTTTCCACTTGCTTCTGCACTATCTCTCCCAACAGTACACACAGTACGTGCTCCCATGTTGGTTTTCTCCACGAGAACATGACCCCTTTGTGTCCTATTCATCTCAGCATCCTCAGAGCCCTGAAAGGTCCCACATAGGGGCCCACATGTGGGTAGGGTTGCCATGACCCCTTTAAGCCCTCCATTTCAGACACATTTCCTTGGATCCTGATGGACACATAGTATACACAAGGAAGGCCTTGGCTGCTTCATTTTTCTCAGGACCAGGTTGAGGTTCTTGGTATCATAGTAGCTAATAGTCAGTGAGTGCCCAATGGGCAGTGAAAAGTCATCGCCCTGGTCTCGGGTGGCGCCCAGTAGGGGCTGAGTGCTCAGCAGAGCTGACCCCAGGGGCCATCCAATGGGTACCAGCTGCTCCTCCCACGAGAGGCTGTGCGGGCACAGCATTTATGGGATGAGTAACAAGAATGACAGTAACCGCCCTCTCCTCCCACGGGATGGCTCACAAGGAGCCTGGGACACAAGACAGCTTTAGCCTCTCACTGTAAGGCAAGCAGCTGCTCCTGAACCAGGAGGATCCCCCGTTAATACATCACTGGGGCTTCTCTCACTGGATCCCACCTTGAACTTTCTCTCAGATTAAGTTTGAGCTTTCAACTCAGAAAGTTTCTTTAGCCTGTTTTGCACCCAATTAAAAATAACCCTAAAAGATGAAATAAATCAGTTAGCACATAACTGCTATGAATATCTGGAGTATATATGTGTGTGTGGGGGGCATGGTTTGAGAGCAAAAATTTAGCTTTATGAACAGGTAGAGTAGGTCACTCTTATATTAAAATAATTGCTGTAAGTTGGCTTTTTTTCCTCCATACATAACAGACCTTTTGCTTAAAGATGTATGCTGAGGCTTTGTTCAGAATACAAAGCAAGGATCCTATTCTTCTTAGCATGATAAAATACCTTTAAACACGTCAGTTTCCTACGAGAACTTTTGTTGAAGTCGGTGGCTGGGTTCCACAATAATTTGAAGAATGGTGTTATCAGATGCATGTAAATTGCTTCAGGAAATGTTCCTGATTCAGTAGGCATGTGAGAAGGAAAGGGTCAGCATGATGCGGCTTTATATTCCCCATCATATTACTGATTAGGAAGTCATTTGGAACAATCACCTACCTGGAGCTGGGCACACTGAGGGATCCCAGGGCAGCACAGAGAAGAAACAGCTCTGCCGGTGCCCTCCAAGCCCACGTCCTGGAGGTCTTCATTTTCCCTCTGCGACAGGAAATCTGACTGCACCTCCCGGTTCCATGAAGAGTCTACCCAGGGAATTCTGCCGTCAGCTTCTGTTTCTGGAGAGTAAACAGCTGGGCAAAGTAAACAGAAAGTCACCAGTGACCAGAAACACCTAGACTTTGCACAGACAGAAGACTTATCTGGGACTCCAGACACCAATGAGAATGGTGGGAAGCTCTGCCACAGCTTAGATTTTATTCATGTGTAACAGATTCTGGGGTAAGCTGCTGAGAGGACAGGCAGTCAGTGGGGCAATAAAGACTCTGTGCTCTCAGTCCAGACTGCCTGGGTTCAAATCCTTTCTCTGTAACTTACCAGCTTTGGGACCTTGGGCAAGTCACTTCACTTCGGTTTCCTCACTTGGAAAGTGGGGGGGGGGATCAAATAAGTACATAGAAGTCAAGAGCTTAGAACAGGCCCATACTGAGCACTCAGACATGTGAGTTTTTATTATGAAGTAGAATACAGGGTCTGGAGTCAGGCTTTGAATTCTGGTTTGCCCCTTTCTAGCTAAATGATTCTAAGAGGCTACAGAGCATTAGAGCTTGTCTAGGTTCAAATTCTTGCTGTATCTTTTACCAGCTGTGGGACCCTGGGCAAATGATTAACCTCTCTGGGCCCAAATTTCTTCCTCTACAAAACAGGGATCATAAGAGTGCCCACCTCCCAAGACTGTCATGAAAATTAGATAGATCTAAATATTTAAAGCACTTTGAACAGTGCCTGGCACACACTGTGTAATCTATGAGTGAGCTGATACTTTTTTTCAGTTTCTGATTCTGTTTCCTCACATGTAAAATTGGGAGGGCTCTGCCTACCCATCCCTAAGAGTTGGGAGGGACAGATGAGACACTGAATATGAGAATGTTTCACAAACAGGAATTATAAAAATAGCTGTAATAGACTAATTAACCGAATATACATTGTTATTACATAAATAATGTAGGACTTTATTATATTTAGGGATAAAGAGATGGTTGGCCTAACCTTGTTGCAAAGTGATGGATAGTAGAGTATTAGTAACAGGTTAAACATTTGTCCCCAGCATTTACTGATAACCCTGAGAGCCACAGTGATAGCAGCACATGAAAAAGTTCAATAAACACCTTTTACTTATCACCTGCACCCTTCACCTATCACCTCTCCCATGTTAAAGGTAAGAGGACTTGATGGTTCTGCACAGCAAAAGCAGATGCCACTCAGGTAGGGTAATTCAGACTTGTTTTCTTTGAGCCTGGAAAAGTGCTTCCCCTTTGTCTTTTCATTATTCTGAATGGCATTCTGTGCCTTGTTTATTTCTATGTCGCTTCACCATTAAACAGGATGAAAACAAAATGTGATTCTCAGAGTCTCCTGTTTTCATTTTTGGCCATTCCTCGAGGCATGTAGGATCTTAGTTCCCCAATCATTGCACCTTGCATTGGAAGAATGGAGTCTTATCCACTGGACCACTAGGAATGTGCTCTAAGGGTCTCCTGAAATGGCATAATCCAAGCAAATGTTCACTTTGATACCTGTAGAAATGACTCCTAGAAACGACTGCCTATGGCCAGATGTGAGGTGTGTGTCTTTACCTTTTCAGGTCCATTGCAGCCAAAGCGTTAGCCTTGACTCCCAACCTGGAGGTGGTACCCACCCTGCCTGTGGCAAGGAGCACAGAAGTATGGTGTGAAAGAGGCATAGTGCAAACCCAAAGGTCATATACAAATGGCCCCAGCTCTCAAATGTACCCCTACCACTGACCTCTCAGAATAAACAAGTTAAAGTCCAAACTTCACTGACTAGGCATTTACAGAACCAATCTTCAGACCATAGAGAGTTGAAGGAACATGGCTGACAACCATCCTATCTCTGTTGATCAAGCGGGTGTAGGTGAGGGTCCCAAGAGGGGATAGGCAGCAGGCAACTTGAGGGTGGTCTGGTAGAAAGAACACAGACTGGATTTGACTTCCTTGAACAAGCTACCCAATTTCTCTGAGACTATTTTTTTTTTCATATGGAAAATGGGGATCATAATTCCTTAATACTTAGCTCGTAAGGTTGTTTTGAGGCTTAACTATATAAAACATTAAACCCTTGACTTATTTCCTGACACAGGTTGGAAGCACCAGCCTGCTCCCTGTCCTGCCCTGTCTGCTGAAACAGCTAGGCTGGGGTTTGGGAGTGCAAATAAGGAAGAGTGGCAAGGGGATGGATGGAAAGCCACAGAGGGCAAAGGGCCTTCACATTAATTGTGCCCAGAACACAGAACAGAAGCTCTGCTCTCAGACCATCCAGTGTGCATTCCACTTGTCATTATCCCAAGCTCAAGGCACCATCTCATCGCTGTCCCAAAGGATGCAGTGACCTGAACTTTGACACAATTGATTGTGGTAGTTAATCATTTGTAAACAAGCAGAAAATTGCATTTCAAGAAAGATCCATGTCCTTTCTCATGTCTGCCTGCCTTTAAGAGGAGCCACATCTTTACACGATGGGGTTCTTATTCAACATCCTAAACTTGAAGGACTCATGGAGAAAGCCACACGTTTTAGAGAGAACAGTTACATGAATGAATCAGGTGCTCACTCACCTCTAGATTTTTTATACATGCTGTTCCTTCTGCTCAGAATATGTGCCATGTAGCTAAATATGAGTCATTCCTTACGTTTCATATTAACATCACTTTCTCAAGAAAGTCTTCCCAATGAACTTTTCTGGGCTTGATTGCAGGCGCCAATGGATCTCCTGGAATTCCAACCTCATAGCGCCCCCTTGTGGCTTGAGGTGCTACCCAGCCTCAGGCTATGGTGATAATACAGGTATTTTTCGTGGATAGTTAGCAATTTAACAGTTTTCCTCATATATCATGTTGTTTGATCTTGACAAAAAAACAAAGTATCATCTTACATGCCTCTGAGATAAGGTTCTTCAATTGGTTCTATAGCTGCTAAGAGATAAATCTATGACTAGATTCAAGTTTGTTTTTTTTTCCTTCCTGATTCCTAACATCTTCTTTTTATAATTCCTAGGCTTTACAAATGTCCTCTTAGGAATTTCCAGGACTGATGAATGTCTAGTACAATTATCACACCTCCCTCTCCATTTTCTGGCCATAGCTCTCTTCTTTGGACAGGAAAGAGGTTTTTAAAACAATCATGTGCCTTTGGGCTTTTAAATTATATAAAGTAATTCATAGCTCCAGGTCTATGGATCTACTGACAGTGTTGTTTTTCCCCACTTTGCTAATTAATTTTCTAGCCTCCAGTTCCACAATCAATGCTACATGTTTTAGGTTTTTGTTACAGCAACATTCCACTCCTGATACCCATTTTTTTTTGTGGTAGTTAGCTTTTGCTGTATAACAAATACTCCCCAAACTTGATAGCTTAAAAGAATGGTCATTTATAAGCTCAAAATTCTTTGGGTCATGAAGTAATTCTGGGCTAAGCTGGGTGGTTCTGCTAGTCTTGCCTGGGTTCACTCATGCAACCTCAGCCAGTTAAGAGGGTTGGCAGGGGGCTGGTTGCTACAGAATGGCCTTACTCACCAGCCTGAGGATCCATCCTTTCGGTCTATACATGTTGGCTGTTGGCTGATGTGAGGCGATAACTGAGTAGCATGTCTCCAAAAAAGACTAATTAACCAAGGCTTTTTCACAGTGATCTTCATGGTTCCAAAGAGCAGCAGGAAAGCATAGGCTCCAATGCACAAGTGCTTTTAAAGCATCTGACTGCAGTATGTGTCTTAAGACATGGCCAAATCCACATTCAAGAGATGGAGACATAGATAATACCTGTTGACAGGAGGAAAAGCAGAGTCACTTTGCAAAGGGGTATGCATCAGGGCTTGGTGGAGAGAATTTGTGGACATTCTGCAATCCACCTCAAACGTGCTACTTTCATGCTGCAGCAGTTAAGAGCCAGCATGCCTTCTCCATTTCTCTCTTCTTCTGTGCTGGTGACTTCAAAGCATGAGCTTAGGTAACAGTGTCTGATGATGGAGGGAGCCTACAGCCCTGACACCGGTTGAGGAGCGTGCCTGCTGATCCATGAGGAACTTCCTATGAGGGAGATTTAAACTTAAATTGTGCTACTTCATTGAGATTTTGTGGTCTATATGTTACTACCTGGCTAATACACTCTTCTGTTACATATAAAATTCAGTGTGTATGTGTGCTTTTCTATAGGAAAAAGTCTATAGCCTTCTTCAGATTCCAGAAGGATATGAGATTCAAAAGAAGTAAAAATAAAATGAAACAAGAAGCAAGAATTCCCTCAAGAGCTAGAACTTCTTCAGTTCACAGAATTATCTGTGGTCTCTTTGAAGGCAGTGCAAAGTAGTCTGAAGTGTTTGGGACATCAGACAGGCCTAGATTGGCATTTCATTTCTCTCATTTATTAGTTTATATCCTGAACAAATCCCTTAAGCCCTCCGAGCACGGGTTTCCCTAGTTTCCAGTGTAGGCTTGTTGAAATAATGTTTCAATAATCATTTACTGAGAGCTACTAGATGCCAGGCACAATCCTAGGTGCCTAGATATACAAATGAATATGTAACAGACCTTCCTGTAAGAGCTGGCACCATGGTGAGAGGGAGAGACACAGTCATATATCAGGGCAGTACAGTGTGATGAGTGTAGTGATGGAGACACGCAGAGTATGGTTTGGATTTAGCTGTGTGTGTGCATGTGGTCACTGGGAAATGTTTCTCAGAAGTGAGACTTGAGTTGGGCCCTAAGGGGTCAGGAGGAGTTAACAAACCAAACACCAAAGGGAGGATGTATGGCAGTTCAGGGAAAGGTCAGAAAAATGAAGATGCAAAGGTAAGAAATTACACAGCATGTACGGGGAACCTAAGACATTCAGTGTTACTGGAGTCTGGAGTTCAGCTTGAGCAGCGGAAAGGAATGAAACTAGAGAGGCAGGTGGGAGTCAGATCCTGTGGGGCTCGATGGGCAGGGCTAATGATATGGATTTTATCCTCAGTGCAA